ACCTAGAGCATTTATCCACTAATCTCCAAACTCTCCTTTTACCTATCTTAAACCTCACCTGTCCTAGTTCTGCAACCTCCTTCTACAATTCCACCCTCTCCTCTCAACTAGACATAATGGCACCTTGTACATTTAAACGCCACAGGCCCCCCCAACAACAACCCTGGCACACCAAGCTCACTCGATACTGCCAAAAATGCTCCAGAACTGCTGAACGCTGTTGGAGAAAGTCTCACTGTGCATCTGACTTTCTCCACTATAAATTTATGCTGAGCTCATACAGCTTGGCTCTTTCCTCTGCAAAAGTTAATTACTTCAATACCTTCGTAACCACACTCTCCCATGAACCCAAACGACTATTTCACACATTTAACTCTCTTCTTTGCCCTGCTGTTTCTCCTCCACCTACTAACTTGACCGCCTCAGACTTTGCAACTCACTTTACTGACAAGATCTCTACATTAAGAGAAGAGATCTCTCATCTTTCTTCTTCCCCTTACAATACTTCCCCTAACTTCACTCCCTCTGCTGTTCTATGTTCATTTGCACCCACTACATTGGAAGAGGTTTCTGCTCTGCTCCAGTCCTCCCGCCCCACCACCTGCTCCCTAGATCCAATTCCCTCGCATCTCATTGGTACTCTGTCTTCTTCTCTTTCTCCACCTCTCACTAAAATTCTCAATCTCTCTCTCTCCTCTGGTATATTTCCATTGCCCTTCAAACATGCAACTGTAACCCCAATTCTAAAGAAGCCCAATTTTGACCCTAACTCCCCATCCAACTATCGTCCTATCTTGCTACTGCCTTTTGCATCCAAGATCCTTGAAAAAATTGTGTATGCGAGATTGACAGACTTCCTTGAGTCCAACTCTCTGCTAGACCCGCTTCAGTCTGGTTTCCACGCTAAGCACTCTGGAAACAGCACTGACCAAAGTATCCAATGATCTACTCGCTGCAAAATGTCGTGGTCACTACTCTATCCTAATTCTCCTTGACCTGTCTGCGGCTTTTGACACTGTTGATCATCAACAGCTTCTTCTCATCCTCCGCAATATTGGCCTACAAGATATTGCTCTCTCCTGGTGCTCCTCCTACCTCTCCCAGCGCTCTTTCAGTGTTTCTTTCTCTGGCTCTTCTTCTTCTCCCCTATTCCTCTCTGTTGGTGTCCCCCAAGGTTCAGTCCTTGGTCCCCTACTGTTCTCCATCTATACTGCCTCCCTTGGTAAACTCATTAGCTCCTTTGGCTTCCAATATAATTTCTATGCAGATGACACGCAAATCTACCTGTCCTCTCCTGATCTCTCCCGTCCCTCTTGACTAGTGTCTCTGACTGCCTCTCTGCTGTTTCTAACTGGATGGCTGCCCACTTCCTTAAACTAAACTTGACCAAAACTGAAATTCTGGTCTTTCCTCCCTCAAGTGTTGTTACTCCTGTGTCTGTCTCCCTCCAAGTCAACGATGCTACCATCAGCTCCACCACGCAGGCTCGCTGCCTAGGTGTTCTCTTTGACTCCGACCTCTCCTTCAAGCCTCATGTTCAATCTATCGCCAAATCCTGTCATTTCCATCTCAAAAACATTGCGTGCATCCACCCCTACTTAACACCAGATGCGACTAAGGTGTTGGTCCATTCCACTGTCCTTTCTCGCCTTGACTACTGTAATCCGCTTCTCAGTGGTCTCACGTGAGAATAAAATGGGCACACTCACATGAAAATGAGCCACTTGCATCTGGCTCAGATCACATCCACTTGTATGTGCTCAGTTTACATTAAACCTCTTCTTTCTTAGATAGTCCTCATATGAGGAAGGGGGAGGGAGAAGCAATGTGGCTCGTGGTGCAATAAATCCCAAAAGCAAAATAAGTGCAGCAAGTAAATGGCTTCTCACCTTTACCTTTATAGGAGCACAGACTTGGCTCCTGGTATATAAGATTGATGTGCCCTTAAGGGGGCTACTACACTTCTTTAACAACACATCTTTCTATATAGCAGGAGCCAGGTCTGGGCTTCTATAAACGTGAGAAGCAATTTACTTGCTGCACTTATCATTTTGCTTTTGGGATTGACCACACTAGATGTCACATTGCTTCTTTTTGCTCCCACTTCCTCACTGAGAGTTGTGACATAACCCAATGCTAAGGAAACCTTTAGTAATATCAATTCTGATATTACAAAAGGATTTTCTAGTTAAAGGACCACTATAGTGCCAGGAAAACATACTCGTTTTCCTGGCACTATAGTGCCCTGAGGGTGCCCCCACCCTCAGGGTCCCCCTCCCGCCGGGCTCTGGGGAGAGGAAGGGGTTAAAATCTTACCTTTCTCCAGCGCCGGGCGGGGAGCTCTCCTCTTCCTCTCCTCCTCTTCGGCTGAATGCGCATGCGCAGCAGGAGCTGCGCGCGCATTCAACCAGTCTCATAGGAAAGCATTCATAATGCTTTCCTATGGACGCTGGCGTCTTCTCACTGTGATTTTCACAGTGAGATGCACGCAAACGCCTCTAGCAGCTGTCAATGAGACAGCCACTAGAGACTTTAGAGGCTGGATTAACCTATCTATAAAAAAAAAAAATGGGTTAATCCTAGCTGGACCAGGCACCCAGACCACTTCATTAAGCTGAAGTGGTCTGGGTGCCTAGAGTGGTCCTTTTAAACAGTAGATAGTGGCCTGTGACCGCCATCTACTGACTGTCTTTATAATTACATTCAATGTAATTATGAAGGGCACCTGCTTTCCAGCCAATTACACTGTGATCAGCGCTTGGCAGCTGGCAAAGCCTAGCACCAATCACAATCAGTTGTGGACAAGCAGAGAGACCCTGTCAGGGGTTATTCAGAAGTTGGGGGCCTCCCTGTAGCCCAGAAACACCACTGAGTGCGATCGCTCAGGCAAAGTTTTATGAATGAATTTAGAGGGCACTATAGAGTGCTGCCTTCCAGCTGCCTTAACTATGCCCATTTGTTATTTTATACCACTCAATTTGTGCCAATAAAGTAAGACAAAACAAAACACTAAAAGTTAGATTTATGCTGTACAGTGCACACCTACAAATTCACCTTCTCAGAGTAACTTTAAAATATTCGTAGTCACATTAGTAACCACAAACCAAATTTCTACCTGTGTGTCTTCCTGTGTATAAAGACCCATCATTTTTCTTGCAAAATGTTTTGGGTTGGTACAGCACATCTAGGAAATCAGTATGGAAAGGGAACAATCAGTACTCTGCATGCACTCCTTATACGCATCCACAATTCTGCTGTTAACAAAAGTCCCTGCTGCTTCACCATTAGCAGTATCCTCCTTAAACACCTTGGGTTGACACTCAGTATTGTAACAGTGAATGGAAGGCATTCTGGCCACTGGGGCAGTCCATCCAATTGTTATCAAGTGCATCTACAGTATTAATCATGAGCCCATTCAACAGTGAAACTCAGGAATGGTACATTACTACTGACTACATTAAAGAACTACTAAAGTCACCCAGACATCGTAATTATGTGACCTGGGTGCAGAGGTCCTGTTTTTTGTCCTGTAAAGCACTGCAGGACTAAAGGGACACTATAGTGTTAGGAATACAAATTTGTATTCCTAACGCTATACACTCTTTGACCCTATTTCGTTTTTGGGCCATATCCCATGTGTAGTATAATGTAGTAAAAAAAAAAAAAGCGCAAAGAAAAGTTTTGCTTACTTTTTTCTCTACAGTGCTGTGTCGTCATTTTAATAGTTGGAAAGGTTGAAATCACGGCTTCGAGCCATGCCTCCAAGCTCTCTGGATAGGGGACCCAGGAAAGTAATTTCCTGGCTCTCCTATCCAGAGAGCTTGGAGGCATGGCTCGAAGCCGTGATTTCAAGCTTTCCAATTATTAAAATAAAATGTTTCGGGGCAAATTTAAAAAAAACACTGTAGGCACTATAACAGTTTCAATAAAATTAAGTTGTTATAATGAGTAAAATGTTTCTTTAGATCCATCTAGTGGCTGTCATACCACAGGCATAGTGGTGCTACCATGGCACTGACCAAGTAAAACTACAAAAAAATAAAAAAAAGTTCAATGCTTTCCTATGAGGAAACATCGAATGTGACTCTGGCCCTCACTGCGCAGCAAGTTCCCAATGCCTCCCTGTGAGTATCATTGGCTAGGACCAACCATGGAATTGGCCATACCTCTTCCAGGGCTCCATAGGAGCAATGGTAAGGAAGACTTAGTGTTGGAAAAAGGTAAGTAAATTCCCTTTATTTTAATATTTTTATCAAACACAGGAGGGAAGGATAGGGGGATAATTACTTTTCAAATGAATAACATTTCACAACACTCTGTATACTGTAATCTATTTTAAGCATAAATACAATCCCTATCCAACATTAGGTGCTTGTGAATTCAGCTATTTAAGCTATTGTAAATCATTACAAAATATTGTATTTAGTATACATTTAAAGAAAGAAAGGGTTCCCACAGGTCCCTACAAACTAAAATAATAATCATTCAAATATCTCATTATCTATAAAAGCACAATCCAAGAATGGTCCTTACGGGATGCACATTATAATGAGAATGTCTAGATATTATTATTCCTATTATCATCTTTAGATATTATTCCCATTATAAAGTTTATATATTATTTCAATTATGTTTATATATTATTCCCATAATAAAGTTTATATGTTATTGCCATTATAAAGTTTATATATTATTATTCCCATTATAAAGTTTATATATTATTCCCATTATAAAGTTTATATATTATTCCCATTATAAAGTTTATATATTATTATTCCCATTATAAAGTTTATATATTATTATTCCCATTATAATGTTTAGCTATTATACTTTTCCTGTCCTGTGTTTTGGCTCAGTATCTATCTGGAGAGGGGATACAATGTAAGGTGATCACACTATATAAATGATACAGTTATAGATGTGACCCCAGCCCACCCCCAGCCCACCCCCAGCTCAGCAGTAGTAAACCCACGCAGCAAAGGAACCGGAAGTCTTTTACCCACTACCGGAAGTGACGGAAACCGCCGGTTGCCATGGAGACAAGACACGCCGTTGTACTGTAAATCCAGCTCCTGAGGCCGCTATGGGTGAGATGGAAACCGGGGGAAATTCGTACATTATCCGCCCCAACTTCCAACACAAGTGAGTATGGCCCCAGTGTTTACATTGGACGGACAGTGAGAGGGGCGATGAGCTAAGTACAGGGGGTTGTATAATTAATATTTGGATTTCACACAGACAGTATGGCGCATATAAGCCAATATAGCACATGGTATGTATCACAGGGAGCGTAGCAGAGCTATATGGTATACACAGCATCATGTATACAGGGGTCATGGGCGGCAATATACATAGATATTAATGTTACACGAGTTTCACTTAGTGCCAGACTAGCTGGAGTGGCATAGGTTTATCACCCCCTATACAATTACTTTTCACCAGTTACCCAATCAGCCATTTGTACTAAATTAATGTATAGGAGCTCTGTTTAAAAAGAAACACTGGACACACCATAACCACTGCAGCACGCAGAGTGTCCTGATATCAGTAAGCATTTTCAATGCTTTCCTATGGAGAGGTCTAATGTGCATGCGCGGCATCAGTCTCCCCCGCCGGCTGACGTAATGAAGGGCAGGAGCGGCGGCGGAGTAAATGGGACATGTTGCTGCCTCTGGTAAGTGACTGAAGGGGTTTTCACCCCTTCAGCAACTGGGGATGGGAGGAGAGGGGACCTGCAGTGCCAGGAAAACTGATTGTTTTCCTGGCACTGGAGAGTCCCTTTAAGAGATGCCCCACCATGGGGCCATTTATTGAGGGGGAAGGGAGTGGGTTATTTGAAAAAAATTTGCTCACTGTTTACTAGATATGCCTCTACTCGCGGTATAGCGAGTAGCGTATGTGTTATTGTATGCAGTGTGTGTGTGTTGTGTTATTGTATGCAGTGTGTGTTGTGTTAGTGTATGCAGTGTGTGTTGTGTTAGTGTATGCAGTGTGTGTTGTGTTGGTGTATGCAGTGTGTGTTGTGTTAGTGTATGCAGTGTGTGTTGTGTTGGTGTATGCAGTGTGTGTTGTGTTGGTGTATGCAGTGTATGTGTGTGTTATTGTATGCAGTGTGTGTTGTGTTAGTGTATGCAGTGTGTGTGTGTGTGTGTGTTATTGTATGCAGTGTGTGTGTGTGTTGTGTTAGTGTATGCAGTGTGTGTTGTGTTGGTGTATGCAGTGTATGTGTGTTATTGTATGCAGTGTGTTGTGTTAGTGTATGCAGTGTGTGTGTGTGTTAGTGTATGCAGTGTGTGTGTGTGTGTTAGTGTATGCAGTGTGTGTGTGTGTGTTAGTGTATGCAGTGTGTGTGTGTGTGTTAGTGTATGCAGTGTGTGTTGTGTTGGTGAATGCAGTGTATGTGTGTGTTAGTGTATGCAGTGTGTGTTGTGTTAGTGAATGCAGTGTGTGTGTGTGTGTGTGTGCAGTGTATGTGTGTGTATGCAGTGTGTTGTGTTGTGTGTGAATGCAGTGTATGTGTGTGTGTATGCAGTGTGTGTTGTGTTGTGTTGTGTGTGTGTGTTAGTATGCAGTGTGTGTGTGTGTGTGTCAGTGTATGCAGTGTGTGTGTGTGTGTCAGTGTATGCAGTGTGTGTTGTGTTAGTGAATGCAGTGTATGTGTGTGTTAGTGAATGCAGTGTATGTGTGTGTGTTAGTGTATGCAGTGTATGTGTGTGTGTTAGTGTATGCAGTGTGTGTGTGTGTGTGTTAGTGAATGCAGTGTATGTGTGTGTTAGTGTATGCAGTGTGTTAGTGTATGCAGTGTATGTGTCTGTTAGTGTATGCAGTGTGTGTTGTTAGTGTGTGATCTGGGGTGAGGGGGCGGAAGGGGCATTTTAACATTAATTTTTTATTAATTTAATTAAATGTTTCTCCCCCCTCCCTGCTTACCTGTGTCCATGGAGGGGGGAGATTCCATCCCTGGTGGTCCGGTGGGGGGGGGGCCCCCCGGCTCCCTGTTACCGTCCGCAGAGGGGGCCCAGGCAGCACACAGCTTCTCCTCTCTTCTCATAAGTCTCGCGAGACCCGGTTACCATGGCAACACTCCGCGAGTCTCGCGAGAGTTATGAGAAGAGAGGAGAGAGGAGGAGAAGCTGTGTGCTGCCTGGCTGGGCCGGGGGCCCGCGGCTGCACACATAGATAGCGATATTCGCTATCTATGTGTGCAGAGAAACAAAGTGGGGCTCAGGACTGCCAGAGCAGTCCGGGCCCCCCAGGGCCGTCGGGCCAGTGACAACAGTGATGGCGGCCCTGCTAAGTGGCTGCAGGATGCGAACAAAGTCCCGAAATGCATCCTAACACGAACAAGAAACTGTTCTCATTCCGTTAGGACGAAATTCAGTAGTTTCGTCGGCGTTCTGTCTAAGTGACAAGACGTTAGGGAATACTGACAGGAAGCATCGCGAGATCACAGATCAAAGCTGAGAATTGTGGGGAAATTGCTTTGATCACTGGAAACAAAGCACACTTTGCTACTCCGCTGAGCATAGCTGGTCAGGCATAGGAAACATCCATAAGACAAAGTAGTCCCTACTTTGTCTTATGTTTTAAAGAAAACTAGAGCAGACAGGAAAGAATTGAAGAACAGATCTTGACAGAGGGAGAGAAGAGGAATCGATTAGGGAAAGGTAAGTTCGGCATGACAGTGCTGCTTTAAATCCAAATCAAACCACTCAGCTCTGTGAGAAGCTTTGGACTGGAGATTTGTCCTCAAAGCTTCACTTTGAGAAGAATTTGATTGGAGAATTCCCAACACCAACAAATAAGTACGTCCTGATACAAAAGGGTGAATCTTTATTAGCTTGAATGGTCATTTTTACAGTGTATTAAAGGCAAGATTTTAGGGCTTGGGAAGTATTTGTAAAGGTTTTTAGTAAATTAATTTAAGAGAATCTGTCAGGAATTAACCTTAGCTTCTCTGGAGTGCCGGTGGTGTATGCTGGCTGTATGTCGCGTGTATGTGTATGTGGTGTATGCTGGCTGTATGTGATATGTGTGTATAGTTTATGTTTAAAAAAATGAATGGAGCAATATTTAAGTGATTCTAAATAGGGGAAGTAAGGCAAAATCTAATTAATGTTAATGTACTGGAAGTATACAAAAAGATATGTGCTGGCACTCAATCACATTGGTGGTGCAGGTATTCGAGGTTAACCCTAAAAAGCCTCATAAACATCATACAAAAAATTAATATGAATACCGCACTCAATATAGTAAAATAATCAAACGATAGTGAAAGGTAATATAATTTAATTTATTATGCTCTAATTCTTAAATTCATAGGTATTTAGCTTTATGTAAGAGATTATAATTTAATCAAAAGAATATATTACATCATATATTCAATAGCTATTTACAGAATGACCTCCATGGGTATTGTATAAATTCATAATAAGTATATATACACAGCTAATAATATTCCTGTTTAATGGTCTAAGGAAAACATATCCATATGGATAATGGTTGGATCTGTTGTAATCTATGTACATAGAAAAAAGAAGAAGGAAAAAAAAAAAGAAGAAAAAATAAATAAAAAATAAAAAATGAAAAATTCAAAAATTGAAAAAATGAAGAAAATCAAAAAGATAATATATGTCCTTATGTACAATAGTCCAAAAAATAGTGCACTTAAGTAATAAATAGGTGGATCTCACCCACTGAAGTATCCAAATGGATTGTAGCCTTAGAAGCAACTGGAGAATTTGTGGAGAATCTGTAATGGATGAAAAGATGACTGTATATCAATCGGTGAGCTTTGAAACCTGCTGAATTCCTGCTGTGATGCAGGCTGTAATACAAACTCGGCCGGGGTATCAGTGCTGTCCTCATATATCCCCCTGAAGACCGTCAATTCTATTCCTCAAATCAGAGATAGCCTCAGTATGTGTGCCGTCACAGTATATGGGCTTTCACTATCGTTTGATTATTTTACTATATTGAGTGCGGTATTCATATTAATTTTTTTGTACTGGAAGTATAGATGGTAGCCCCACACACAGCATTGTGGGAGCTTTGATCTCATAGCTCCCTCTGTACTCAGGACCTGTACACTTTCTGATTCCTGCACACCCCACAGCTAAATTGCCTCCCTTCCCTGTAGTTGCTGTGGTCCTGGTATTCAGTGAGTCAGAGTGCACTTAGTTGGCGTGCATTCCAACTAAGTAGAGTGCTGGACGGCGAGAAGGTAATTACAGAGGTCTGCACATGGCAAATGTGCAGATCTAACTTCTCTAGCCCCGCACCAGCCCCTCCAATGGAGCTGCTAAAACGAAAAAAAAATTTTTTAAAAAGCGAGCGATATAAATGTCACATCAGTGGTCACAAAGATTGAAGGACTAAAACTGACAAGTCTTGCAGGCTGACTCATTGGGTGAGAGTGGCATTTTCTTAACTCAGGAGAGCTGGTGGAAGCTCCGTGCAGGAGCCTCCGGTTCTCATGCAGGCTGTTACAGGTGCCCAGCAAACCACAGATAAGTTTTCACATCATTTGCAAATGGTTTGATTACTTTCCCTGGTAAGGCTCCTGGGCACTTCTGGCACCATATATGCTACAGTGGGTTCCTTTAAGTCTGTTTTACAGATTTTATTTCTCCTATAGATTTAGAACAGCAACAGTAAAAGAATGTATCAAATCTGTTCTAAAAGAAGAGCTCAACAACAAGCAGTATGTTGCTGAAGAGGTTCCACAGCTAACACGTTTTCTGTCAGAGACCATAAAAGATAAACTTAAAGGTAAGCTTAAAGCAATATATGGCAAAGAAACAAAACACAATGACTCTTGTGTGATAATCAGTTTTTGTAGTTTACCCCTTTTTCCACATACCTGAATCTTATAATATTTATCTGACTTTAATGCATATGCATCTGTAATCTTTAACATTCCAGACACAGCTCGTCTTTTGTGTCTCTCACGGCTCCAGCACAGAGGATTCTCAATGAGAAGCCTCTGGCTGGTCAGTTCTCCAGCACATATTGAAATTCTGTTCTGGGGAAAGAGGGAAGGGCTTGCAAAGACAGCTTATTTTAATTTTTGTTTGTTTTTTCATATACTCCCCTCCTAAAGAAAAATGTAGGAAAAATAAATGCACGTTTTCTTTTTGGGCATATGCTCTAGTAAAAATTATATTAATTTGAGTGTATTTGCCATAGCAATAAAAACAAAAAAAACATCAATAGGCTCCCCTTCATATTGACAATATTTCTTCCGAAACCGCAGTTGACCACTATATAATGGGTGCTAATGAAGCCTGCTATTGTGAGAAAGAATATACAATGAGGGGGGAAAGTATTTGATCATTTGCCCACGGAAAAAGAAATGATCAGTCTATAATTTGGTAGGTGTATTTTAACAGTGAGAGACAGAAAGAAAACAAAAAATCCAGAAAAACGCATGTCAAAAAGTTATAAATTGATAAAAAGACAGTGTTTACTGCAAAAAGGAGAGAAAAGCAAGTGACGAGAGGTGAGAACGGACAACAGCTCAATTAGCCTGCATTTCAGTGGGTCCCCGCTCAGATCTCAAGCTGGTTTTAGCTCATCTTGTGACATTACAGAGATAACATATCATATATGAAGCATATCAGACTGGTCCCACCCGTATGGGCAGTCCAGATCCGAAATGCCAGCAAGTTCCCTCTGCACGAGAGGTACAGCAACCCCATACGATCATTTCAACCTTGTAAGGTATCATCAGTGAGGTATAGCCAATATCCCTCTAGGCACCATAAGCAAGGGGTCTACATCTGGATTACCCTTTAACCCCTTAAGGACACATGACATGTGTGACATGTCATGATTCCCTTTTATTCCAGAAGTTTGGTCCTTAAGGGGTTAAAGGATCACTATAGTCACCCTTACCACTTCAGCTTAATTAAGTGGTCTGGGTGCCAGGTCCCCCAGGTTTTAACCCTGCAGCTGTAAACATAGCAGTTTCAGAGACAGCTGACAGTCTTCCTGACAGCCGCTAGAGGTGCTTCCCCGACGCTAGAGGCGCTTCCCCGAAAATCGCATTGAGCATGCAGAACGTCCATAGGAAAGCATTGAGAAATGCTTTCCTATGGGTGTTTTTCATGCACAAGCGGCTCTGGCTGCGCATGCGCATTCGGCTCCACTCGTGAGCTGACTTCGGAGAGGTCACCAGCGCCAAGGGAGCCCGGCGCTGGATTAAGGTAAGTGGCTGAATGGGTTTTAATGGGAGCCTAAGGATTATACAGTGTCAGGAAAACAAGTTTGTTTTCCTAACACTGTAGTGGTCCTTTAAACTTAAGCCTGCATGGAATGACTATACTCACCAGAACAAATACAATAAGCTATAGTTTTTCTGGTGACTATACTGTTCCTTTAAGAAATATACATACATACATACATACATACTTATTTTAATGGTCATTAATACACATTTTCCATATTCTCTTTTGCCTAGAAATGGGATTTGATAGGTACAAAATGGTGGTGCAAGCTGTGATTGGTGAACAGAGAGGAGAAGGAGTGAAGTAAGTATTATGTGTATTCTAAATTATGAAGTTTTGAAAGAGTACCTAATTGTTAGTTACTGTTAAAGAGTCTGTCACCTCATTTCAGTTGTGTACCATTGCATTCTCTATTTTATTAATACTTTGCAAGGACCCCAGAAAGTGGCATTTCTAATTATATTGTGGAAGAAGCTGAAGCAAAAACTCTCCCTCATAGACGCCACCTTTGCTGTGGTGAACATCTTGAACTACTGGGACTTCATGCACCATGACCCATGTAAATACAACAACATAAATGACTGGGCAGAGGGTTATGGAAAGGTTTAAGGCAGGTTTGGAAAAACACATACAGTGTTTTTGTTCAAAAAAGAGCCTTGCTCTTGACCGAGCTTGAACAAGGCTTTGTTTTGAGCTGAAACCTTGTATAAGTTGTTCCAGTTAACCTGCCTTGGACCTTTTCACAACTTGTGCCCAGTCCTTCATGTTATTGTTGGATCTGAAAGTGATGTGTACTCGTCCATTAAACGTGTGCCTTCTCATTGCTTGGGTTCAGGAGGTGTGAAAATGTCATCCACTTGTGCATATGCATGAGTGCAACACAAAGCTGAATGGAGGAGAGACCATACACGATCCTTCCACTCTTGCAATAAGTTAGAAGGTGCCTGTTTCTCACAGCTGTCACGGGCTATGGGAATTGGATAAACATGATACTGGAAACGCCTAACTTGGTCAATATATGCTTTGTTAAAGGGACACTATAGTCACCCAGACCACTTCAGCTCAATGAAGTGGTCTGCGTGCAATGTCCCTCAGGTTTCTACCCTTCAGATGCAAACATAGCAGTTTCAGGGAAACTGCTATGTTTACATTTGGGGTTAAGCCAGCCTCTAGTGGCACCCTCAGGGCACTATAGTGTCAGGAAAACCGCTTTGTTTTCCTGACACTATAGTGATCCTTTAATAAGACAAAATGGGCCCTACTTTGTTTTATTATAGTTTCTGATTGTATAAATTCTAATGCAGTCAGTATATGTATTTTATGAGAATGTTATCTTTAAGAAATACTCAAATTAAAGGATATCAGAGCCACTTTAACATATTCTCTACAAACTCACCATATTTTAATGTAAATTACTATCCAATTAATCAAGATTACCTTAAAGAAAAACTGTCACTTATGAATTTCCATAAAGATATAATTTGTATGAAAACAACTAGAGAAAATTTATGACAAACTTACCGTAATTTTCTTTTCCTGGCTATTTCTCATGGCAGCATCACTTATGGGTAGCTCCTCGCTTAGCAGTCACAGGACAGGATTCAATTAGATTAATTAATCAGACTGATAGGTATAAAGAGTCCCTCCTCCCCTTACACCTCAGTCCAATTATAAAGCTGAAATAGAGAATGGGCAGGAACCCTGATGCTGCCATGAGAAATAGCCAGGAAAAGAAAATTACGGTAAGTTTGTCATAAATTTTCTCTATTCCTGGCTAATCATGGCAGCATCACTTATGGGTAATACCCAAGCTTCACAGAAATATAGGGTGGGAATAATAATCCAAAAATTACACAAATCCGAAACACATGCAGCAAAGAAAAGTTTACTATCTACTGGATAAAGAGACCGTAGACAGGACACTCTTTCCAAAGGAGGTGGAAGGAGAATCCACATCGAGTTTGTAGTGCTTCATGAATGTCATCGGAGAAGACCAGGTGGCTGCTCTGCAAATATCATTGTATGGAACCTCTGCCCAGCTAGCCCAAGAAGTTGATAATGCTCTAGTAGAATGAGTTCTTATTTCCCGAGGTGGAGATAAACCTTTAGAGATATACGCCTTCTTAATCATCAGAGAAATCCAACGTTTCAACGTAGATAAAGAAGCCGCCTCACCTCTCCTTGCTCCCAGCGGCAAAACAAAGAGTTGGTCCGTTTTACGGAAAGACTCAGAACGTTTAAGATATGCAGACAAGCATTTCATGACATCCAAACGTTGCCATCTAAACTCCTCCTGAGAAGAAGGGTTGGGGTAAAATGATGGAAGAACCACTTCTTGAGAGAGGTGAAACTGAGAAACTACCTTAGGAAGAAACTCTGGTTTCGGTTTCAGACACACCCTATCTTGGTAGAATCGTAAACAAGAAGAATATGTAGAAAATGCCTTAATTTCTGAAATCCTTCTTGCGGAAGTGATTGCCACCAAAAACAAAGTTTTATACGTCAGGCGAGTTGCATCCAGACTTTCAAGAGGAACAAACAGATCCTCGGTGAGATAATTGAGCACCATAGGAAGGTCCCTAGGAGGAGTAGTGGACCTGGAAGGAGGCCTCAATCTGAAGGCTGCTTTGAAGAACCTGGAAATCAAAGGATCCGAAGCCCACGAGATGTTGCACAAAGCTGAAAGTGCCGAAGACTGAACCTTCAAGGTGCTGAGGCTAAGGCCCTTGTCCAGGCCCTCTTGCAGAAACTCCAAAACTTCAGTATTGCTAGGATGCCGAAAGTCCACATTATGAGAGGATGCCCAAGTTTGGAACACATCCCAGATCCTGTGGTAGCATGAAGAAGTGGAAGCCTTCCTGGAGAGCAGAAGGGTATTGATCACTGCCTCCGAGAGACCTAGTAATTGGAGTCTTTCCTTCTCAAGACCCATACCCCCAGTTTGAGGCGATCCGGATGAGGATGGAATACAGGGCCCTGCGATAGCAGATCCTCCATCACTGGAAGAGGCCAAGGTTGTTCCTGGCTCATCATGGCCAATAGGGGAAACCACGGCCTCCGAGGCCAAATCGGAATTACAGCAATTACTTTCCTGCCTTCCGACCAAACCTTTCGCAGGAACCTGGGTATCATGGGTAGGGGAGGGAAAGCATACCCCAGATCGAACGACCAAGGGAGAGAGAGAGCATCCTGGCCCAGTGCCTGATAGTCCGGATGGAGAGAGAAGTAATTCTCCACCTGGTGATTCTGAGATGATGCCATCAGGTCGACCTGGGGCATGCCCCACCGATGAGCAATTTCTGCAAAGATCGCCGGGTGAAGCTGCCATTCTCCCGGAAGAATTTCCTTTCTGCTGAGGAAATCTGCCGTTACGTTCTCCGAACCTGTGAGATAAATCGCCTTCAGGCCTTGAAGATAGGTCATGGCTATAGTCATTAAGGGAGCAGGCTCTTCCAGGAGCAACCTGCTCCTCGTGCCACCTTGGTTGTTCACATATGAGGCCACTGCTCGGTTGTCTGTTTTGATTAGAACCCAAGAATTCCTTAGCCTTGGCAGGAATCTCAAAATGGCCTTGTAAACCGCTCTCAGTTCCCTTAAGTTTGAGTGTAGGTGACTCTCTTCTCGGGTCCACTTCCCTTGCATCCATACCGGACTGAAGAGGGCACCCCATCCAAAAGAACTGGCATCTGTTGTAATAACCTTCCAAGGGGGGTCTTCCAACGGGAAGCCTGTTGTCAAATTCCTCTCGCTCTTCCACCAGTTTAAGCCTTTCCTTATGGGAAGGGGAAGAGATATCATCTGTTCCCAATCTGCTTCCACTCTGTTGAACTGGAGAAGGAAGCAGTTCTGGACCGGACGGAACTTCCACTGGGCCCACTTCACCAAGCCTATTGTTGATGTCAAGGAACCCAGGAGGCTCATGACTTCTCTTGCAGGTGCAGTTTCAAGATCTTGTAGCTTCCTCACTTTGTCCCTGATCTTCTTGACCCTTTCTGGAGACAGGAAGACATGTGCAGACACGGTATTCATTACCGCACCCAGGAAAATGATCGTTTGTGCAGGAACGAGGGAGCTCTTTCCGACGTTCAGGAGCCAACCATGGTCTTGAAGAATGTACATTGCCACTGACGTATGTTGAGCAACAATTCCTTGAGATGGACCCAAGATAAGAATGTCGTCCAAGTAATGGAATATCTCGATACCCTTTTCCCTTTTATAAAGGCTATCAAGGTGGCCAGAACTTTTGAGAACGTTCTTGGAGCCATGCTGAGGCCAAAGGGTAGTCCCCGGAACTGGAAGTGCCTTCCTAGCGCCCAAGACCTGAGAAAACGTACATGATCTTGATGTATCGGGATATGATAGTAGGCGTCTCTTAAGTCCTATTGAGGTCATCCAGTCTCCTTTTTTGACACACTTCAAGATGGTCCTCAAGGATTCCATTTTGAACGTCCTTACGTCGAGCAAGGAGTTCACGCCCTTCAAATTCAAGATGAGACGCCACTTTCCCTGTGGTTTCGGGGCCAAGAAGACCGTAGAGTAAATTCCCTGGAACCATTCCCGTTTTGGAACTTCTTCCACCACTTTTTGTTCCAGGAGTACAGAAATGCAGGACCTCATGACCCTTCGTTTGATGCCTACCGGTACCTTTGATTTTCTGAAGAATGCAGTTTTCGGGTGAGATGAGAATTCTATTCTGTAACCTTCTTTTACGATGGAAGTGACCCATAGGTCTGAAATATTGCTGGCCCATATGGGGTAGAAGAACTTCAGTCTTCCTCCCACCATCCCCGAACGGGCCTGGGGACCTTCAGAAGTTCTTCCCTGGGGTTCTAGCACCCCTTCCTCTGGAAGCCTTATTGGAAGATGAGTGCGAATAGGAATTCCATGAAGAATTCCTGGAAAACTCCCTTCCTGGTTTATAGCTTCTGCTGTCCTGAAAGGACCGATCCTTGAAGCGCTTGGTCTTCCAGGAGGAGGGAAAACTCTTCTTGCCAGCTTGAGGTAAAAACGCCTTTTTCCCATCAGCAGCTTTTTGAATAGCATCTTCCAGAATTTTCCCAAAAAGAGATCCCCCTGGAACGGAAGTGCACACAGGGAAGCCTTAGAAGCATAGTCAGCACCCCACGAATGAAGCCACAAGGCCCTTCTAGAAGCCACAGACAGGGCCATGCTTTTGGCAATCATGCGAGTGATGTCCAGGGAGGCCTCTGAACAGAATTCCGTGGCTAGACTAAAGTCCTTGAGGCCTTCCAACAGATGTTCCCTACGGACACCCTGATCAATGTCGTCCTTCAGATTAGCGAGCCACACTTTCAAGGCTCTGGAAAGAGTCGTCAGTGCCACTGCCGGATGAAGGGCGGACCCTAGGGCCAAGTAGGCTTTAATCAGGTCTCCATCCATACGCTTCTCCATAGGCTCCCTGAGATATGCCATGGAGTCAATAGGCAGTGTAATTTTCTTAGCCATATGGATCACTGCAGCGTCAATTTTAGGAACTGAGTTCCACAGGCAGCAATCCACTGTAGAGTACGGATAAACCCTCGCAAACTTATTTTTTAAGGTGGACTTCTTTTCCGGCTTATTCCATTCCTGAAGGATCATATCTCTGATTGATGTATGCACCGGGAAAGTCGGTCTGTTAGGTTTTAAGTCATCAAAGAACCTGTCAGCCTCTTTTAATTCAGATCTTTCTTCAGTGAGACTAAGAGTGTCTCTGAGAAGGGTAATAAGTCTATCAACAGACCTGGAGTCAAGAGACCTGGAGGTATATTCAGTTTCCTCCTCACCTTCATCCGAGACCTCCCACACATCAGGGTCCTCATCAGAGCTGGAAGACTGAGGTTCCGCTCTACGTCTCTTACTCTGACCACTAGATCCCGTGGTAGCCTTAAAGCCCTCAGCAATAGCCTGATCCAGAGTTTAAGGTTGTCCTGTGGAGAACCCCTACCGGGAGCGTCTGCAACTTCCAATAAACAATCCCTGCAAAGATTCCTTCCATTCGGAGCAGGCGATGAACAATTAATGCATTTATTAGACTTTTCCCGTTATTTTCTTGCTGGAGAATCCAAATGAATGCTGGGGCTGGAATAAAGCCATATATGACATATATTACAGGCTTAGTATGGCACTCTTTTAACAACCCCCCATAAATTTTAAAAATGGCTCACCTATGTTTTCTAGAGAGGGATCTAGCAGAGGCAGAGGGAGAATCCATACTATAAAAAAGACCAAAGGAAAATCAACACCTAAATTCACAAATTGATGAGAGGCAAGCTGATGAAAGAAACTTCTAATCAGCAAAATTAGAAATCCTACCTTAAATCACTAGAGTTCCACCAAGCAGCCAAGAAACAGTAGAAGCAATGGAGAAAATCAATCCTCTTGTGGAACAGAACAGCAGGACTGCAGATACAGCACAAGAGAGCTGTATCTGAGCCTTTAAATAGGACCGGGCACTGAAACAGCTGATTGCCCGGTCCGCGCATGCCCAGAGCGCTGGAACGCACGCCATGCGTTCCAAACGCTCACGGCCGGCGTGCATTTCACTTCCGGTTTCGCTGAAACCGGCCGCGAGCGTCATAGAGCCGGCTGGAACGCAGAATGCTCCCAATAGCCGAACGCTCAAGGAGCCCCAGAGCCTGAAGCACTACTGCCTCTCAGTTCCCTCCCAGACAGGAACAACTAGAGGCCAGAAAAAGGTATTTTTCCCATCAGTCAACCACACCATCATGCCCTTCGCCCAGTATGGATTCAAAGGCTGCCATTTAAGCATGGGGGGGAATAAATGGCCCCAATTAGGAGGGGCAGGTTAAAACCCAGGGGAATTTTTAAGGCAAAACCAACCCCACAAACAAACACAACAGTGTTTCCCTCAAACACTTACTTCCCACGCTGCAGTTCAGTACTTACACTGAACCTGATCCAGTTAGTCCTGTTCATGCAGGCTGTTTACTGGACCCTTCAAATGAAGAGAGGCTGAACTTCATTTGGAACGAACCCACGACAAACGCAGGAAGGTGGCCATAAAATAAAAAGTAAAAAGGTCCTGTAAAACTTGCTAAGGACAGGAAAAAAGACTGAGGTGTAAGGGGAGGAGGGACTCTTTATCAGTCTGATTAATTAATCTAATTAAATCCTGTCCTGTGACTGCTAAGGGAGGAGCTACCCATAAGTGATGCTGCCATGATTAGCCAGGAAATATATGTTGAGTTGCATATGTTTTTAACTGAATACCACGAAATTGAATCCTCATAAGGCAGTGCTTTAATTCAGATTATTAGTCAATATGCATTGTAAAAGAAAGGTCAAACAATGCTTGATTTAAAAAAAAAAAAAAAAAATAGAGGGGCTTTTTGAACCAAAGAAATTAACTGACTTCCCCTGTTTAGGGGACAGTATGCATGGACCAAAGAGTTAAAGGACTACAGAAACCGTGTGTTTGAAGAAACTAAATGTAACTAATGGGACCTATAATTTTTAACATGTTTGTGGATATCATGCCCATGTGTGCATACTTGAGATGACACTTGCTTACAATATACACTGAAACATTCTATCCAGTGTAGAAGTGAAACACTGTGAACATATAATGGCTAGTGATATGTAAATAACTAACTTTACAGTTTTGTGAATTAATTACTAACATAGATTTAATGTCATTCAAAAACCCAGTTGCAAATATCAACTAATTTTTAATTTTTAGTATTTTTTTAAAAACTTCATTGTCCAGCCAATTTCATAAGCGGGTCGACTGGGCAAAATGGAATTTAAAATTTATCAGATGTCTGTGGAATATTACAGACACGGTGGAGATAGAGAGATGTATAATAAATTCAGTGGTAAGAGCAATGCCTTAGAACTGGGAAACTGGGTTTGATTCCCAGTCAAACCACCTTGCCAATAAGTGATGTATAATTGTAAGGTGCTGCAGAATATGTTGGCGTACATAAATAATAATAATTCTCACAGGTGCGCATGTGTAGATGCAGAAATTGTTATAGTTCATTTGCCCTTACTTGGTATTAATGCCTTAATTATAATTATCAACAGATTTTTGCTGTTGAATTTGACAAGCCCATTTCAGGCTTGATAAATGATATTGCATCACAAATTCAATATTTTCAGTGGAAATGGTTTTGAAACTTTAAAAATTAATCTAAAGTCGAAGCCACTCGAACCAAAATTTATCGGCTCTTGATAAGCCTAAAATTGCTTATATTAAATCTTTTCGAATTGTTAAAAGACTTTTTGTGAGCCAAAAAGCTGCCATTATCACATATCTGCTGATAAATAACATTCAATGTTGTTGATTTGTTATGCTTTTGTCCCATTATGTGTTACTGGGCTAGTGTTATATCATTTAGTAGTTGTATTACCCTTGTTTGTTGTGGTGTTTTTTTTTTAAATTCTTTATTTGTATCAGTTTTCAAAATTATAACCAAGGGTGGGGTTACAGAACAAAGAAGGGACAACAGGGAAAATGATAACATCTGATAGTTCATATTTGATAGTTTGCATTTAAGGTATCGTAAATGATTTGGCATATGTTGACTCAGTCAGGTTCATGAACAAATTAAAAGTAACAATAGGTTGGCTAGAACTTTGGTGTCGGTGGTGGGTTCTTTAGGGAATCAGGTGTAGACCTTTTTATCGTGGTGTGCACTGTCTGGGTTGCTTTTTTAGCCTAAGGGTGCTATGTTTGAGGATGTTCCCCGCTCAGGATGAGTCGGGGTGCTAGGTTTGGGGCATTCGATTGATAGGCCGGAGCCGTGTCTCCTCTGTGGGAGGTCTCCCCCTTCTATTTTATCCCATTGACGGCTGTGCTTTTGTCAGTGCCTTCCCGTGTAGAAGGTTGTATCCTCTCCTTCTATCGTTGAGGGCTTTTGTGCGAGGTTTGTATCTGTTAGGTCTTGGTTGGGTATCAGGTATGTGGGGGGAGGGGGTTGTAGGTTTACCTGTCCAAGGTCTTTGAGGGGAATAGGGTCATGAATATGGGTATCTGATTCTGGTTGAGTGGGGGCAGTGTATGTGCCGCCTGCTCTGGGGCCCCGCGTCTCCCTGGAGGTGGGGGGGGGGGTTGGTTGGGTTTTAAAGTTGGCGCTTGTTAGGAGGGAAAGATGCGGCAGGGTCGGTGTCTGGAAGTCCTGCTTGTGTGGGTTTGTTGGTAGCCCATGTTGTGGGGGTGATGTTTGTTTAACTGGGAAGCGAGGTGTCCTCCTCGAGCCATGGGTCCCAGACTTTGTGAAATGTCTTGGGGGTCTCATGAATTCGTGCCGTGGGTTTATCCATGTCTATGTGTTCCTGTATTTTCCTGAGTATCACCTGTGGTTTGGGGATGTTTGGCGATGACCAGACCTCTCCTATTGCTCTGCGTGTGGCCAAGGCCACTTGTGCGATCAGTTTATTTTCTGCTCTGGTGAATGTGTCTAGTGGTTTGGATAGGAGTAGTGCCCATGGGTCTAAGGGGCAAGGGTTGGTTAGTAGTCTGGTGAGGAGTGAGGTGATGGATTGCCATAGTGGTTTGATTTTGGGGCATGTCCACCAACAGTGAAGGAATGTCCCCACGTGCCGCATTGTTTCCAGCAAAGATTTGTGGGCAGTTTGTGCATACTAATCAATCGTTGGGGGGTGAGATACCACCTGAAGAGCATCTTGTAGGCCTGCTCTTTGTGTCACGCAGATTGTCAGGGACAATATGGCCTCCCAAATGTCCGCCCAGTCTCCAGTGTCCTCATGGGCTCCCAAGTCTGCCTCCCATGCCGTGATGTATGGGAGGGAGACGTGGGTCGCAATTGTGAGGTATAGGTCCGATATTTGACCGTTCCTGGTTAGGGCGACTGTACAGTCTCTCTCAAAGATGGTAAGTAGTGATTTCCCTGCCTGTTGTATGCATGGAGTTGCTGCAAAGATTCGTAATTTCAAGTAGCGAAAGAAGTCGAATGTCGGGGATGTCGGCATAGTTGATGAATTTGTCATTAGTGTATAGGTGGCCCAGTCTCGAAATTCCTCTCCTCTCAAATTGGGCAAAGTGTTGGGCCGTGAGTCCCGGGGGGAAAAGTTTGTTTCAGAATACCGGAGTCATTGGTGAGAGATATGAGGAAAGGTCGTATTTAAGCTGGAGTTTATCCCATAGGTCTAGGGAGTGGGAGATGGTAGGCGCCGTCGGGAGTGGTAATGGTCGGTGTTGTCTGGGTGTCCACATGTAGAGGGAGGGGTGGTCTCCCTATGTTCTATGTCCACCCAACGTTTTATCATGGGTGGGAGGTGCCACATTTGTATTTGTGCTAGATGTGCTGCATTTAGGTAGTGTAGGAGGTTGGGTAGGCCCAGGCCACCCGACCTCTTGGGGACAAAGAGTGTTTCCCTTCGCACTCTGGGTTTGTGATTGTTCCAGATAAAGTTGTTTATGGCTTTTTGTAGTGAGGTTATGTCTGATTTTCAAATTGCCACTGCTATTGTTTGGAAAATATATAGGAATCGGAGTAAGAGGTTAATTTTAATTAATGCGACGCGTCCCAGCCATGAGATTCCCATCTTGGTCCATGCCTGTAGGTCCGCGTACGCCTTTTCGAGTGTTGGGGTGTAGTTTGCGTGGTATATTGCCGTTCTGTCGGCAGTGAGTTTTATGCCCAGATAATCGATGGCTGTCTCGCAAATGCGCAAAGGGAATTTTGCTTTTAGGCGTGTGAAGTTGGTGTTGGGTATGTGGATTGGGAGAAGTTCTGATTTTGTAACGTTCAGTTTGTATCCCGCGATCCAGGAGTAAGAGTGAATCAGTTTTAGCAGATGAGTTATGGAGGTGTCTGGGTTTGTCAGGGTTAAGAGGATGTCATCCGCGTATGCTGATATTTTGTAGGGCTGGCTTCTAATGTTAATGCCTACTATATCCTTGTTGGATCGTATCGCTTCTAGTAAGGGTTCTAGGGATAGGGCGAATAAAATGGGGGAGAGTGGGCACCCTTGCCTCGTCCCGTTAGAGATTGTGAAAGTGGGGGAGTTGATGTTGGGAAGGAGGAGTGCTGCCTTAGAGTGTTCATAGCTGTCTTCGAGGAACAGTAAGAATTGTGGCGGAAATCCGAAGTGAGTGAGTGTGTGATATAGGAAAGGCCAGAGCAGGCGATCAAATGCCTTTTCGGTGTCTAGAGATATTATGGCTGTCGGGATGTGTCTGTGGCTAGCGTACCATATGAGGTCTATGGCTCTCCTGGTGTTGTCTGCCGCCTGTCTGTTTGGGATAAATCCCACCTGGTCAGGGTGGATTAGGGTATATAGCACTGCCTTAGAACTGGGAAACTGGGTTTGATTCCCAGTCAAACCACCTTGCCAATAAATGATGTATAATTGTAAGGTGCTGCAGAATATGTTGGCGTACTATAAATTAAAGGGTTAATTCTGTTAGCCATGACCTTAGTCATTATTTTAAGGTCTACATTTAAGAGGGAGATGGGTCTGAACTTATCCGGCTCATCATGTTCTTTGCCAGGTTTTGGGAGAAGGCAAATGTTAGCAGTGACCATGTCAGACAGTAGTTTCTCTCCGCATAGCATCGCGTTGAATACCGCACAGAGGTGTTTGAGTAGGTGGTGGCCGAAACTTTTGTAGTATATCGCCCACAGCCCGTTGGGGCCTGGGCTTTTGTTTGGCTGCAAGGAGTGGAGGGTGATAGCCATCTCCTCCACTGTAACTTCCTCCGCCAATGTCTGTCTCTTCTCCATGGGTAGTGAGGGGAGTTTCAGTGAGTTCAGGAATATCTGCATGAGGGTAGGGGTGTCATAAGTGGTGAGCTGTTGTGGTGGTGTGTGGTTGTAGAGCGTTTGGAATATGTTTCCTATTTGGTCTGGGAGGTCGCTTTTGTCCCCATTCGGGTTGCAGATGCGCGATATTTTTTGGGCCTCGATGCAACGTTTCAGGCGTCGTGCTAGCATGGTATCGGCTTTGTTGCCCTTTTCATAGTATTTTTTTTTTTAAGCCAAAGGAGGGCTTTAGAGGTGTCCTCTAGTGTAAGGTGCTTTAGCAGCGCCCGGGCCGCTGTCAGTTGGTCTAGGAGGGCCCTGGTCGGTTGCTAGACTTATTCATTTGCCTCGGATTACAGCTTTGTTAGCTGCCCACAGGGTGATAGGTGATATCACTCTGGGGCTTGTGTTGATTTTGAAATAATCCGCGATGTCTGTGGATATAGTCTCAGTGATAAGGGCATCATGCAGTAACAGGGGGTTCAGTTTCCAGGACCAGGGCCTCGTTAGGTTTAGGATGCGCAGGATCAGAGTAATGCTAGTGGAAGCTGTCTGAGAGAGGATGTTGGGAGTCACCAAGAAATGGTCTATTTGGGAGTATGACTTATGGGGGTGGGAGTAAAATGTGAAGTCTTTGGTGGATGGATGTTGTGCCTGCCAGATGCTGATGAGGTTTTAACAGGAGAGGAATTGTTGGAATTGGATGTCACCTCTGGATGGGTGGGCTGGGTCCTGTATGTGGTGTGATCTGTCTAGGTGTGTGGAGTGGACCGCATTGCTCTTCCCCCCCCCCCCATCACCAGGCGGGTGTTGGTCAGTGTTGCAACGTGTGCTGAGAGTGTCTGCCAGAAGTCGGGGTCTGGATGTGTGAGTGCGTAAATGGAGCAAAAGGAGTAGCTGCTGGTCCCTATTTTCCCGGTGATCGTAAGGAATCGGCCCGAGGGGTCTGTGGTCGAGGTGACATCCGTCAGTGGGCAATTGGACTTCAGAATGATGGCTACACCTTTCGTTTTGGTGTCTGGGGAGTTAGCAAAGTAGCAAGATTTGTAGTAGCGTTTAGTGAGGGGGAATTGTTTGTGTATGGTGAAATGGTTTTTTTTTTTTTTTTGTACCATAAGGATGTCTGTGTGCTGTCTATGGGCCCATCTGAGGAGAGCATGCCTTTTTGAGTTAAGACCCTTTGCAGTTATAGAAGTGCATTTAAGGTGTAGTGGCATCTTGCGTGGTCTCGTGGTTCTTTTATTCCTAGAGTGCAGATGTGGGCGGGTGGTGGATAGGGGGAGGGGGAGGCGCAGGGCCCCGTCTCCCGGACCGCCCGGGTCAGGAGACTAGGGGTGTGACTACTGGGCTTACAAATTAGGCTAGTAGTGTGTGGGGAGCGTCGTCCGACAGCTCCGTGACTGGTGTGAGTTGGTGTGTAGTGGGGGTATTCTGTGGGTTAAGAGTGATGGGGGGTGTGTCGTCCACAGGTGGAGTTTCCGTAGGGCCGGTATGGGATCCCCTACGTGCCTAAGTAGTCTCCATATCTCCCCGAGCATCCCCACCCCCCTCCCCGTATGAGGAAGAAGCTTACATACAACATGTCACATATGATTAAGGTATAACATTTAACATCGTCTTAGGAGAAACATAACATTAATGTGCAAGACATATAGCCCAAGGACGTGCCTCGGGATCTATCTTCAACCTTGAGACGGTGGTGAAGGCCACCTTTCCCCATTGTCATCTGGTTGCGTCCTACTGAAGGACTGACTGGCCCTAGTACAGTGATCAGGAGCCTCTGGCTGAGTGCCTTGCTTAATCTATCCTCCCTCTCCCCATCTTACCTACCAAGGCTGGCTGTCGTCTGTATTACCCTTGTTTAAAATAAAATTTTCTTTCTTTTCCCTCAGGATGGCTGCTCGGTGCTTCTGGGATGCTGACACAGACAACTATGCTGAATATGTTTTTACAAATGTAAGATAATGATATTTTAATAATTATTATACATAAGTGAACAGTGTACTGTTTTTGTTTGCAAATTCCTATGGTTTCTTTAAAAGGATAGTCCAGGTATGAACTTCTTGCTTACTGTATCTAGATAAGTATCAACCACCACTCACTACTCATCAGGGCATAAATGTTCATCTGATGTTTAGGCATCTCTTAAGAGGAGATTGCTAAAATTTCAGATTTGAATTCCCCCATGTGGGTTGGATCAGTCTGATATGCAGATGGTGTATGCTATCTCTGCAATCCTGAAACTGAGCTAAACCTAGCATGACACCTGTGTGTACACCTACCAAAGTTAAAGCAGTTAGTGGGTTATTTTGTTCTCAGTGTTCACAAGTGCTTTATTTTTGTTTGTTTAACTAAGTGAACATGTCAGTCTCTCAGTCATTTATAAAACAAAATCATAGAGTTCTCACTTTCCTAACCCATTTTACCCTCTTTTTTTGTCTTCCACGACAGATTATCAGGAGCCACATTTTCTGTCATTAGTTGATAAAACAGAAATTAGCAGACTCACCAGGAGCCTCCATGCATGTGTTTTTAAAAAAGGATGCAATAATGGGCACTGGGCTAGCAGAGTCCTTGAAACACACTAAATAATATATATAAGCCTTGATGAGCTTTCCAATGATTAGTCTACAAAATTCCCATAGACTTAATGATGCCTTCTAATTTGGCTTTCTAGCAGTATTGAGTAATTTGGAAAGCTTATTAAATCAATGTCATATTTAGCAGCTTTAAATATGGTAAAGTCCATTTCAGTGGTACAAACTAGATCTGCCTGCAAGTCCAAAATGGAGACAACATTACTGGGTATTTAATCATAGCTAGAAAATATTTAGGATTTTATAGTGATCAAGACAAAAGGGAACTTGTACTTGTAGAATATACAAATTGTACAACCTTCATAACAATGGCATGATTGTGTGTGGTCTTAATGTGTATTGAATTGATTTTATAGAGGGCATTAGAATTTATATACATATAGAAAAGCAATAACAATGTTTTTACTAAATCTATTCTTTCTCTTCTTTTTAGGACTATTTATTTTGTGTGGTTGCTGCCTTTGGATGCTTCTACTATTAGTATAAAAAGAGACAAATATTTCTTTATGACAAATATTTAAAATGTACATATAACACAACGGGATGCACTTTCTTCCCTAGAAACATAATATTGATGTAAATAACCATACCAATTATGTCATTCAGTAAGGAATAAAATATTTATGTACTGTTTTGGTTTGTTTAGTATTTATTTACATATATTGCCACACACCAATGTGCTGGGTGCACATCTGACACTCAAAAGGTTTTTATAATAAATATAAATATATATATATATATATATATAAATATATAAATTATACACACATAAATTTGGGAGGGAGTATTATTTTTATAAATTAAGCTTTATCAGCCACTATGTCAATCCAGCCCTGAAGGTTACCCAATCCAAAATCACCTACTCTTATATTAGTAACATTTTTGTTTGCTTTTTTGCGCAGTGCAATCTAGTTACATCTTAGCCGCAATTCACTTGAGTTATTTTGAAACAAATCTCACTGCAGCTTTGAGATCCATTTAAAAATGTGAGATATCCATTCAACTCATTTCAGATAGCATTTGGTTATTAGTGGTTTTTAGTAAATCCAGTGAGCTACAGATGAATTGTAAATAATGAATGCAGGATAATAAAGCCATAAGAAAGCAAACAAACTTTATTCACTATCTAATGAATACACCACATATATCTGCATATTACAAACAAAATAATCCAGCAGAGATGAGATTAACTGCATCACAGACATGCTGCTCCTTCCTGCCCACCACCATGTATCTCTCAATATTAGACCTGCCAAAGGTATGTTATATTCTACTGATCTAGCTAGATTAGATTATCTATTTCATTAAGTATTTCATTTGTTTTTTTTCTTGTATACGCTAAGTATCCCCTATTTTATTTTTATTTTTTAATATAATAATGTCTTATTTAACCGCTTAAGGACGGAGGCAATTGTACTGACCAAAAACAAAACAGAATTTAAGCTATGTTTGTTCAACTGTAATTTACCCATTTAATATTAAGTGCACCCATACTCATTATATATAATTTTGCTGAAGAGAAATAGGGCTTTTATTTTTTATTTCACAACAAAAAAAAAAAAAAAATATATATATATATATATATATATATATATATATATATATATATATATATATATATATATATATATATATATGAATGAAATATAAATAAAGTGTGAGAAATTAAGAAAATTCAAGCTGGACAAATTTGGTAAGTGGTGTCCCTTGGGGTTCTGTTCTGGGGCCGCTTCTATGTAGCATATTTATTAATGATCTTGAAATAGGCATTAAAAGCCATATTTCAGTGTTTGCAGATGACCGGAAACTCTGAAAAGTAATACAATGTGAGCAGGATATTGCTTTGCTACGGAGGGATTTAGATTTTAGATTGGGGGACTGGGCACTTAAATGGCAGATTAAATTTAATGTAGAAAAATGCAAAATTATACACTTTGGAGTAAAGAATGCACAAGCAATTTACACCCTAAATGGTAGTGAATTAGGAATAACAACATATGAGAAGGATTTGGCAATTGTTATAGACTAGGGGTTCCCAGCCCAGTCCTCAAGTGCCCCCGACCAGTCCAGGATTTAGGGATTACCCTTTTGTGTCTAAAGTGTGTTTTTTGTTTTTTTTTGTTTTTTTTGTTTTTTAAACACCTTAGACACAGTTGAGTAATCCTTAAATCCTGGACTGTTAGTACTTGAGGACTGGGTTGGGAACCACTGTTATAGACCATAAACTAGGTAATGTCAATTGGCAGTTGCTAAGGCCAGTAAGGTATTGTCATGTATGAATAGGGGCAATGATTCTCTGGATGAAAATATAATTTTTCCTCTTTACAAATCACTGGTAAGACCACACCTTGAATATGCTGTGCAATTGTGGGCACCTGTTCTAAAGAAGGATATTATGGCACTAGAAAAAGTGCAGAGACGAGATACAAAATTGATAAAATGAATGGAGCATTTTAGTTACTAAGAGAGGTTAACAGATTTATTTATATATTTTTAGTTTGCGAAAAACGGTGTCTCAGGGGATATAATAGCATTATACAAATATATTTGGGCCATTAGAAACCATTATCTGGAAATGTATTCATAAAAACTATACATAGGACACGAGGTCATGCATTTACACTGGAAGAAAGGAAATTTAGTCTAAGGCAAAGGAAATGGTTTTTCACAGTAAGAACAAGATGGATGTGTAATTATCAGCCTGAATAGGTGGTTTTATCAGAGTCTATAGAGATGTTTAAACAGCAATTGGATAAAACTTCAAAAACATAATATACAGGAATATCATTTTTAATTAGTGGGGTAATCGCTTCTTGATCCAAGTAGATATCTGACTGCCATTCTTGGGTCAAGAAGGATTTTTTTTACTAGTTTGTTGCACAATTGGAAGTGCTTCAGGCTGGGGGGGGGTGCCTTCTTTTGGATCAACAGCAAAAACAAATGTGAGAAATGCTGAACTTGATGGACTCTTGTCACTTTTCAGCTATTCAAATGTAAATATAGGGCTTGCCCATTTCAGTTTTTACACATTTAGATTTGCCAGATTGGTTATGTTGCCTTTGAGGCTTTATGGCAGCCGTGAAATTAATTACCAGAATAGCATTTGCAAATGTAGACAACACAGTGTATTCAAAATTGGGTATGTCTAGTCTTTTTAGTGTGTGTGTGTATATATATAATATTAATAGCGAGGACTTGCACTCCTGGTGTAATCCTGTGGTACCCGGTGCTGGTCTGGCAAGGATCATGTAGACATAGCAGAAATGACCGCACTCCAAGGACTTTATAGATATTTTCAAATAAAATTTAGCTTTTATACAATCCATTTAAAAAGTCAACGTTTCAGCTCTCACATGGAGCTTTCATCAGGACAAAACATGTTTTTCCTGGAACTGGAGTGTCCCTTTAAGCCAACCTACCCCTCTCACCCCCCATGGTGCTGAAGGGTTAAAAAAAAAAAAAACCTTTTATCACTTACCTGACCCCAGTGAGGTTGTGCTTTGGGGATGGTTCAGGCACCACCTCTGCTCCTCCACCCCTATCGCAGTAGGACTTCCCCAATAGGAAAGCATTGTATAAAGCTTTTCCTATAGAGTTTTGGGTGACACTGGATATCCTCATGCAAAGTGTGAAGCTGTCCAGCATCAGGTAACGAAAAGTTGCCTAACCCCCGGAGGTTCCACTAGTGACTGTCTGGTAGACAGCCACTAAGAGGTGGAATTAATCGAAGATTATTATTGCAGTTTATCAAAAACTACAATCATAAAAATAGTTGGGTTTAGGGGCTTGGGACTCAGAACCTAGACCTGTTTGATGAGCTAAAGTGGTCTGGTTGCTTATAGTGTGCATGTAATCAACAATACAGGAGAATCCTGCAGGGTCTAGCAAGCTATTAACAGAGCAGGAGAAAAGACATTTCAAATTAAACAAACATTAGATGACTCTTTACAAGAGGTGTTTATAAAGGCTGTGTAAGTCACATTCAGGGAGGTGTTAAATAGTTACATAGCTGAAAAGAGACTTGCGTCCATCAAGTTCAGCCTTCCGCACATTTGTTTTTTTGCTGTTGTGAGACTGCAGGGGCATGATCCATACACAAATACTGATTTATTAAGCTAAAGTTGTCTTGGTGACTATAGTGTCCCTTTAAAGTTATATTGGGGCCGTAGTGTCGCTTTAACTTCTTTAGGACCAATGACGTAAACATAAATCAATGCACTTAGGTCATCACTGTGCTGTTGTTCTGTTGTTTGCACAGTGATTACTGTCAAAGGGCTTATTATAACTGCTCTTTGAGCACTTAGAAACAGCCCATCCCTAGCATATCTTGGCATTCAGTCTCTCTCACAAGCAATCCACATGCCCAGAAATGCTGAACATTTCCTTTGAAAGCAGCATTAGTATTGCTGTCTGAATCTGCATTCCATGCATTCCTACTGATTGTAAGTGAGAAGGAAATTGAGAGATGGAAGGGGAATATGCTCTCATCACTACAGCAGTGAATTACCCCCTAAAAATAATCAACAGGTTGCCTAGTTACAGTGACAAAAGATTGCAAATTCACTAACACTGATTTTGACAGGGATTCTTCCGAATATGTAAATTAAATGTTCCACTACCCCACACTACTGGCCCCAACCATGTTAAAAATCAAATCTCAATTAACACCTTCATCGCTGCATTAAGTGTTTAAGGATCACCTATTTCTTTCTGTCTGGGATTAAGTATGGACACTGCACCCCTAGTACCTTCAAATGTACATTTAAATGGATTCAATAGTTCCCTATCACCAGTCCCTACTTTAGGATCCTGTCCAAACTTTGTTCCCTGGTGTCTTACCTTAGAATTCTGGGGAACTGTCCCCAGAAAGCATAACAAGTGTCCATCATCAGACACGTTCACGCTATGTTCGGGGCACTAGAACCTGCACATAGAACGGAAGCAGCGCTCCTTGCATGGTCTGCTGCCCTTGGTGGGCTAGCCTGCTAGACAGACTGGCATGCATTCAATCCTGCTGGCTCGCTCCCCTTTATCCTACCTACCAACAATGTTCAGAGGACAGAACTGAAAGGTGATGTTAACTACTACATTACCAACACTCATTTAAAACAAAATGGAGCATTGCATGACAAAAAAGGGTTAAAACAAGTGATTTGCAATGTTTTATTCACTGGTGTTATTTCCAGAGTAGTGATGGCAATCCCTTTAATTTTAAAGGAGGCCCAGCATAGATGGGGAAGATTGGTCTAATACAAGAAAATAAAGGCACCAACAGACATCTGAGGCTTTTTTTTTTTTTCCTGAAGTCTCCCTAAGGCTGTTTAGAAGAGACATCCAGCAAGCGTCTGGTCTTTAATTTCCACACTCACAGCGCTGTATACAAGCCACACGGAACCCTTCCGCATTCTAGTCTAGTTTCCTGCGGGCTTCTAAGACGCTGCACCCAGCTATGTGCTGGCCATGAGCTGTACTTCCGGGCGGTGCTGTCAGACGCTAACACTAAGTAGCCCCGCCCGGAAACTGGACACAGAGGTACCGGGAGGTGAGTGTATGTGGCAGGCAAGAGGACAAGTCGGGGACTCCACAGCAATCTCATATTTTTGAGTATGTGTATATATGTGTGTATGGGGGTGAGAAATGCAGGAAATAATGAAATCAACTGAGAGAATGCCTAGAAGTGTATGTGCCATGAACTGTGCAGGGTGTGTTACTGTCCTAAGGCTGCATATAAGTGGTATATAACCTCTATTTATCATACATTGTTTTTTTGTTGTTGTGTCAATATTTGACAAATACTTTATTTATAATATAGAACAATGGCAATGATACATACTTATAATGCTTTTACTTGTCTTACAATAACATGCAGATATGTTTGAGTGGTTTGTTTGATTAGTTTTTGTTTTGGACCCTTTTTTTTTTTGAACCGGCAAAATAACCTATAACATATTGAAAATATTCTATTATATTGAATACTTGCCTACTGAGCTAACCATCTAATCAGTGTTCTGTATCTGATCTTTCCTGTATAATGTTGATGATCTGCTAGCTTAGTATGTCTTTTAGTTTGTCAGAATTTGAGGGGTTTTTTTTGCCTTAACACTTGTAGTAATAGTTTTAAAAATGTGCATTTTTAAAAGATGGCTAGTCCTACGAGTCTGATCAACCTCTCTGTATATTTAGCTTCTCACTCCTCATTTCTTGATATTTGCTATCGAGGCAACACTGATAAGGAAACTGCAAGTGATCGCTAAACACTAGCAAAAACACAAAGTACACTGCTTTCCTAGAACGCTTGCTTAATTTGTAAAGTTTGCTCTGTGCTGTTAAAGAACTCCTATCTAAGATATGTAATATCATTGTATCATAGTCCTGTCCTCTATGTTGGTCTTTGGACTTCTACAGAAAATATAATTGTTGAACTGGCTGTGCAAAGTACAGGCTATTTCATTTCCATTCAAGTCACATATACGTCTGAACCTGCTTTGGCTATAAATGTCACAGCCGTCTCCTAGTATACTTCCAAGGTCTGTAATTGCTTTGTGCATGTGAGGATGTTATTTATTATTTAATATCTTGTTTTGTCCCCCAATGCTCGTGAGAATTTTGAATGCTTGATTAAATGTGATACAATACAAAGCTGACAAGCCAAACCAAAATAACTCTAATATTCCTTCCCTTTAGCTAGTTTACTTGTGGATGATCTTTGTGGTTTAAAACTCTCTTTATATAGGATGATATTTTTCACATCAAAGAAGGCTTATCCAAATCTCAGACCTAAAGTTGTTAATGAAATACAACACTTCTGAACATTGTCAACCAGTAATTCTGATTGACAAAGGTTTATAGGTGTTTGATTACTAACCATTATTGGACCAGGTAACTAATAAAATACATGATTCTTAATTTTTCAGTGGCAGATGCCATTTTCCTCATTGGGTTATTGATAATGATTCATTATGAAAACATTATTATGATACTCGGAAAGAACATGAGTTAGATATAGGAATAGAAAAAGAGACAGAGTATATAGGGTGTTGAAATTACTCAACTCCCCAGACTCTGTGAAGGTTACAAGAGGTATAGGGGGCTTAACCCCAGCAAACTATAAAGAAAAAATGAGAAGATGAACTGGAAGACCACCAGAATAAGATATACAGGTGGAAGACCTGTTCATTCATAAATCGATGAAGATTTATGAATGAACAGGTCTTCCACCTGTATATCTTATTCTGGTGGTCTTCCAGTTCATCTTCTCATTTTTTCTTTATAGATATAGGAATAGTTCAAAATATTTCCTTATTGGTATTATTGTCCAGTTGCAGTTTAAATACAAAAATCAGTACCTGCTGTTATCTAGTTATTTCTTGTATTGAGTAGTACTGGACAGTAGTTTAAAAGTTTGCTTGTAAGGCTGAATGCTAGTGACTGTGCAGAATAAAGAATCTCAGTAACCTGGATTATTAGTCACAGTTAAATATAGACTGAAAAATGATACTGTGATCCTGTTAGACAGGAGAAGGCTGATTTGCAGTCTTAATCACTTCATTCCTTGGCAGATGCACTTATCTATTTTTTTTTCTCCTTGTCCCTGCTGTTGAAGGGACTTGATAATCTTGTAAACCCAGTAAGAAACCCTTGTACTAGTAGGCAATATATACTTTGTCAGGGCTTGACAAATTTGTTTGGAAGCTAGGAGCCAGCTAAAAAAGTTAGGAGCCAGTTTTTATTAAGGGACACTATAGCCTTCAGAACCACTACAGATTAATGTAGTTATTCTGGTGCCTATAGACTGTCCCTGTAGCATTTACATTGCTGCCCACTAAGACCTCTAGTGAGAGTCACTCAGACAGCCTCTAGAGAGTCCTGTGTCAGTGCTCTGCATGAAGGCACTGAATGTTACCAATATCCTCCCAATGCTTTCCTGTAGGATAGCAATGGCTTAGCTGAGATCAATAAGATATCGGCTATGGAGGCTGGAAAAGCCACGGCGAAACCAGTATGTTGTTGGAAAAAAGGAGTAAAAACACCAATCATCTGATCGGAGGGTAGCAGGTACCTAAACAGACACACACAGACATATATATACACACACTTTATCTAACACTCGCAACTTTATATTTTTAAATCTAAAACACCCAGCCTCCCTACCTTTGGGAGAGCTGAGTGGACTTTCCCTTGGGTCCAGTGGGGCTGCTATTCCTGTGTGTGAGAGAGCAGTGATCTTCCTGCAGCTCCTCTCTGCTTCCTTGCACTGTCTGCAGTAATGCCGGGGGACAGAATGACATCATATTGCGGCTCCCGGCATCATTACACCGCATGAGGGAGCAGAGAGGAGCTGCAGGAAGACTGCTCCCTCGCGCACTTCCCCAGCCTGCAACCTCTATGCTCTCCAGGGTGGTCGACTACATGCTCCCTGAGCCGGTCATCTTCGTACAGCCCAGGGCGGCTGGCTACAAAGTCTCCTAAGACGGCCGCCTCCATACCTCCCAGGGCTGCCAGCTACAAAGCTCCCTGAGCTGGCCGACTGTATACAGCCTAGGGCGTCAGCTACAATGCTCTCTGAGCCAACTGCCTCCATGAACATGCAGTTGGGCAGCCGGATGGCTCCATTGTATGCCCAGCCGGCCACTTTAGATAAAAGGCTGACAAATCACAGGCAAAATTTCTAGTCGCCATGATGACCTGGCGCCTGGGATTTGTCGAACCCTGCTTTGTGACCTGATAACACATCAAAATTATGTTATCCAGGATTTGGAATAGCCTATATGATATTGATGATTAGCTGAACTGGGGGAGGTGGGATCTTGGTGCCATTTCCCGCTATAAAATATGTAATTGTTTTCGCAGGAATGGCAGGCTTACATTGCAGCATTTAAATGCCTCATGGGTTTAAATACTGAAAACCACTAACTAGAGGCATTTCGACAGAAATAGCAGAGTAAAACTTATTGATTGAAGGTATAGCCAGTAATTTTTCCAAATTCTTGGAATTATTGTATTCTTGGAAAACACCAGACAGAATTCAAAGTCTTATCAGTAAAGCAGTAGTGAATATTTCTGCTGAAAATTGGTTTATTAAACGATCACGCCAAACCACTAGAGCACTTAAGCGTTCTTTGAGGCTTCTCAGAGAGAAGAACCTGGATTCGATGCTTAAAGGATATTAAAGGGTCACTATAGTCACCAGAACAACTACAGCTTATTATATTTGTTCTAGTGGGTATAATCATCCCCTTCTGGCTTTTTTTGCAGTAAACACTGTCTGTCTTTTCAGAGAAAATGCAATGTTTATATTACAGCCTCCACTGGCCACCCCTTAGATGGTACCTAGACGTGCTTCCTGGGGCAGTGCTGCACGGTGTGCAGCATTGCCAATCAGTGGCTCCACCCTCTGCCTGGAGACACTGAACTTTTCTCATAGAAATGCATTGATCCAGTGCATCTCTATGTGGAGATGCTGATTGGCCAGGGCTGTGTTTGGCTTGTGCTGGCTCTACCAAGTCAATACTTTCCTATAGGCAGGCAGATCAGGGTCAGAGGCGGCAACAGACTGAGGTAAAGGTAAGATCTGACTATATTTAAGTAGGGCCAGGGGGGCTACTTAGTGATTTTAACATTATAGGTTCAGGAATACATGTTTGTTCCTGATCCTATAGTGTTCCTTTTAAGTATTACTGACACTTCTGTATGAGGCATTGAATTAAGTGGGATATTCACTCTCTAGTGATGATTTCTCAGGGGTGGAGCAGAGCTACAGCAAAGAGACCCTTCTTATTGTTAGATTGGAGTTAAGTAACCCATTTATATTACAGAAGGGGGCAGTAATCTAAGTACACTATGTTCTCCAGCATTACAAATGTATAAGTGTTCCCTTACAGGACCAATTTAGACACCATAACAACTTTATCAAAATTAAGTTATGGTGTCTGGAGTGTACATTTTTTTTTTTTTTCTCAAGTTGCTTTTGAGAATGGACAGTTACTAATTTGCTGAGCGCATTAGCTGAACACTTTCTGCCAATAAGCAGCACCCCTATCTTTCGTTTTTGAAGCTTTTTAGCAAACTGAAGGACAGGGGGCAGAGAGATCGGTGCTGAAATTGGGAATTGTCAATCTGCAGTTGCTAAGGCCAGTAAGATTTTTTTCATGTATAAATAGGGGCACAAATTCTTGGGATGAAAATATAATTTTGCCGCTTTGTAAGACCACACCTTGAATATGCTGTGCAATTTTGGGCACCTGTTATAAAGAAAGATATCATGGCACTAGAAAAAGTGCAGAGACGAGCTACAAAATTGATAAAAGGAATGGAGAATTTTAGTTACGAAGAAAGGTTAAAAATTTAAATCTGTTTAGTTTGGAAAAAAGGCGCCTGAGAGAGGATATGATAACATTATACAAATATATTCGGGGTCAGTATAAGCCATTATCTGGAAATCTATTCATGAATAGAGCTATACAAGGTCACACATTTAGGCTGGAAGAAAGGAGATTTCATCTAAGGCAAAGAAAAGTTGTTGTTTTTTTTTTTTGTTTTGTTTTTTACAGTAAGAGCAATAAGGATATGGAATTCTCTGCCTGAAGAGGTGGTTTTGTCAGAGTCTATACAGATGTTTAAACTGCAATTGGATAAATGCTTGCAAAACATAACATACAGGGATATAATTTCTAATTAGTGGGGTAATCGCTGCTTGATCCAAGGAGACATCTGACTGCTATTATGGGGTCAAGAAGGAATTTTTTACTAGTTTGTTGCAAAATTGGAAGAGCTTCAGACTAGGTTTTTTGCCTTCTTTTGGATCAACAGCAAAAACATATGTGAGGAAGACTGACCTTTTATGGAGGCAAGTCTATTTTCAGCTATGTAACTATGAAACACAGACTTTGGAGTTAAACTGTCTATGACCTGTTTATCTCCTTTAGGTGAGCAAGAGACCTACCGGCATCATAACACCTTTATTTTGATGAAGTTGTTATGGAACCCCGAGTATTGCTTTAAGCAGTAATTTTCACATTTATTGCTAACTTTTATTGTTATAAGATTAACTGTGTGTTAGTGCTATAGTTCACGCAGTACTTGGATTATCTTGCCTTTTGTCCAATATTGCATATTTGCAGTCAGTCTCACAACACACCATTCTGACTGACATCCCTGGCAATTTATGTGAAATAGCAGGTGGGTTATGTGCCCTTTCCAGCCTACTATAATTAAAACCCTAGGTGCTGTGAACTCAATCTAGATTAGTTGTACTTGTACTTATATATATATATATTCGTTTCGTCTCTATCAATCCTTCATCCATAGTGGGTTTGTTTTTTGTGAAAGTGATGAGTCTGAGTCATACCACAAATTTTTGATTTTTTTTTTTTTTGTTTATAGTGTTTGCCTTAGTAAGTTATCTTTCCCTATACTTATGAAACACCTATTTTGCAACACTCTTGTATCATCTTGTTAGCTAGTGCACTATTGTGAAAGACTTAGTTAAATGCATAAACACGTTAAGACACAAACACTTTATGTTCAGTAAGAAATATTATTTTGATTCTGTAACATAATCAAATGTTAGATTGATAATTATGCATCCCCTGCCCATTAAATTACTTGTACAGTGTATGTGTGAGAAAATAGCCTAACTCCAATGGGGAAGCCAGGAGTAAAGTCTCAACCTACATAAATGAAAATAGAAAGTACTGTTATTCTTTAATAATCAGTAGAAAATAGCTGTGAGTTTTATTAAAGAAAGGGAAGGGAATATTTTTATGCATCTAAACAAAGCAGGAAAGACTGAGTCCTCAAATTTATTCTATTGATTATGGAAAAAATATTTTCTTTTTTATTCATGCAGGTTGGGTCTGTCTTACTACAAACAATATAATTGGGGAGAGCACCGACCTTATGTGAGCTAAGGGTGCAAGGACTACAATTCTGCACCTCTCGTATCATATTCAAATTGGAACAAAAACTGTCCAACACTTCTCTTGGTGAAACTATTCTGTATTGGCCAAATCATTGTTTCAGCTGCGTTTCTTTAGCCAAGCAATCTTCTTTTCTGCTTGATAAAGACAAACGCTCAAAGAGTTTCTGCTTTGGATTGCCAAAATAGGGATATTATTTTCACAATAGGGAATGTTGAACAATTTTTGAGTCTTTCTTCCTGGCATCCCTTTTATTATAAATTTGGTATATGAAGGAGGTGGGGGAAACACTTCCCTACTCTGAAGCTTTAGAATCTACCTTTGCCCCCCTCCCCTTTACATGTCAGCTATATCAGGGTTTGACAAAATTGCTTGGATGCTAGGAGCCAGTTAAAAAGGTTAGGAACTAGTCTTTATTAAACTAACGAAGTTTAGTTTTGAACAAGAAAAATGCAGTTCTTAAAGGGACGCTATAGCCACCAGAACTGCAGCTTAATGTAGTTGTTCTGGTGTTTGTAGCCTGTCACTGCAGGATTTTCAATGTAAACACTACCTTTTCAGAGAAAAGACCGTGTTTACATTACTATCTTGCGACACCTCTAGTGGCAGTCACTCAGACGGCCACCAGAGGTGATTCCTAGACGCTGAACCTATGTTCACCGCCTCCACACTCTGTATGGAGGCTCTGAATGTTCCACATAGAGATGCATTGATTCATTGTATCTCTATGAGGAGATGCAGATTGGCCCAGCACAGCCTTTTGCTGCCCCATGCGGGCTGGTAGCCTTCGCTAAATAGCTTCCATGACAAAATCCCTGGCGCCTGGGATTTGCCGAGCCCTGCGTTATATGTATGAAGAATATTTGGGTACACATGTTTTGGTTTATCACATTCGCTAATTGCTTTCTGTGGCATTTTGATATAGTTTAAAGATATTTTAACCGTTCTTAAAGTTTAAGAAATACAACATTTAAGTCTAAAAACCTGTAATATTTGAAAATGTCCATAACAATACCTTTTGAATGTAATTCCTTACTGCTTCATTATCTATATCTGTGAGGTCACTGGACACTCAGTGTACCAAAATAATGTTTTTGATCAATTAGAAGGTTTTAAATAGAGAATATTTTCACTTTCATTAGTGATTGAACACCTTTTATCCCATTTTTGTATTTTTATAGGTGTGGCAATACATATTCATGTCATGAGAACCTTCCCTTATGTGAGGTTATTGCCTGACATAATATTTAATTTTATATGGTTGTAATCTGCTTTGGAAACAACTTGAATAGGAGAATACCTTGAAAATATGTGACTAAATACCTTGATCTATATCCATCCAGAATCTTGAGACTGTTTTATAAAGTTAACCAAAAGTTAGCATTTGAGCTAAAACATATTTCTATATCATACTTAACAATAGATAAATAATCAGTAAAATGTGATGTGTCCATGTATAAAAAGAAAAGCATGTATATACAAATAATAGTGCACCCTGTTGGTATTTATGCAGAACTCAAGAAACTAATAAACATGTTTCTTTATGACCAGATGAGAAATTATTCTTTCAAATGGTAAGAGTGCCAAACTTACAAGAAATGGAGGGCCATGTGTTTTTGTGCTCACATGTTTAATTTGATATTTGGCTCCTTTCCCTCAACCCCTCCCCCCCTTTGTTTAATAAAGTTGTTAGACGAAGTATACTATATAAAGAGTTTTTTTCATTACATAAATATTTCTATTTATAGCTTATCGTCGTCATTTCAATAATGGAATCTCAGAACACGCTCAAACTCTACTCCCGGAAGCGGAGAAAAGATCCTGCAGACCCCAATGGTACAGCAGATGAAGACCCTGTGCCTACAAAAATGCCACGTGAAACACATGTTAGTAGTGCTGTTTAAAGATTACTTTTTTTTTTTTAATTAGAACATTTGTGCTTGTTTCTTTATAGTCACACTTAAGTTACACAAACACACTATGCGAACAAGCTTATTGGGACACCTGACCATTTCACCAACATGGATTTTTATGACCTCACATTCTAAATACATAGAGATTAATATGTAGTTGGTCGACCCTTTGCAGCTATAACCGCATCAACTATTCTACGAAGGCTTTCCACAAGATTTGGAGTGCTTTTGTGGGAATTTCTGCTAATCCTTCTGGTAGAGCATTTGTGGGGTCAGGTACTTATATTTTACAATAAGGCCTGACTTGCCATTTCCTGTCCAGTTCATCCCAAAGGTATTCGAGCCAGTCAAGTTTTTCTTCTACACCAAACTAATGTAACCATGTCTTTATGGACATGCTTTATGCATTGGAGCTCAGTCATGCTGGGATAGAAAATGGCCTTCCCCAAACTGTTCCCACAAAGTTGGAAGCAAAACATTGTCCAAAATCTATTGGTATGCTGGAGCATTAAGATTTTCCTTCACTGGAAGTGAGGGACCTAGTGAGGCCAACCCTTGAAAAACAGCCATGTCATTATGCCTCTTCCACCAAACTTTACTGTTGGCACAATGCAGTCAGGCAGGTAACATTCTCCTGGCATCCGCAAAACCCAGATTTGCCCATCAGACTGTTTAACACAGAATGGTGACTCGTCACTCCACAGAACACTTTGAAACTGCTCCCGATAGCGTGCTTTAAACCAGTGTTCCCCAACCCAATACTCATGGCCCACCAACAATCCAGTATTTATATATTTCCCTGTTTTATTCCAATGGAGATACTGACAAAATCTGGACTGTTGGTGGACCCTGAGGACTGGGTTGGGGAACACTGCTTTAAACCACTCGATCCAATGCTTGGCATTTAAATTGGTGATATGAGCACAGTTTTTGTGCTGATCTTAATGCTAGTGAAAGTTTGGAACTATTCAGCTCTGCAATCAACGGAGTGTTGGTAAATTTTTCTCACAATGCCCCTCAGCACTTTTATTTTACGTGGTCTTCCACATTGTGGTTGAGTTGCTGCTGTTCCTAAACACTTCCACTGTCCAATAATGCCACTTACTTGACCATGGAATATATAGCTAGGATGAAATTTCACAAACTGACTTATTGCAAAGGTGGCATTCTATGACCGTACCACGCTTGAATTCAACAAGCTCAGAATTACCCATATTTTATTTTCACAAATGCTTGTAAATGCAGACTACATGGCTCAGTGATTTTATACACATCTGACAAAGGGTCTGAATTCAATAATTAAGAGGTGTGTCCCAATATTTTTGTCCATTTAGTGTATACATAGATCTATCAGGGTAAAAACATGCCATCATTTGGCCACGTGGTGGCAGCATTTTACGTTGTATGCCATCTCCAAGTTTACGAATTGCAATGTATACATTATATATTGTACAGAGCTATGGAATTTGACACATTATTGATAATAATATACACTGATCGGCCACAAATTTAAAACCAATGACAGGTGCAGAGAATTACATTGATTATATCATTACAATGGCACCTGTCAAGGGATGGGATATATTAGGCAGCAGGTGAACTGTAAGTTCTTGAATTTCATGTGCTCAAAGCAGGAAAAATTTGTCATGAGAAAAGATATGAGTGACTTTGACAAGGGCCAGATAGTGATTGCTAGACAACTAGGTCAGATCATCTACCGGTATGCAGTGATTAGTACCTTCCAAAAGTGGTGCAAGGAAGGACAACCAGTGAATCTGTGTCAAGCACAAGGGGGTCCAAGACTCATTGATGCAAACGGGGTTTGAAGTCTAGCCCGTATGGTCTGATCAAAAAGAAGAAGCAGGACTTAAGGGATCTACTGCTAATGTTTTGATGCCAGATACCACAGGACACATTCAGAGATACTGTGTATTCCATGCCTCGACGCATCAGAGCTGTTTTGGAAGCACAAATGGGACCTTCATGATATTAGGCAGGTGGCTTTAGTGTTGTGGCTGATCAGTGTATAATTTATGAGTTTATATATAATCTTTATTTTGAGGGGTTATGGATTTCATTTGTCACTTTTATGCATTGTTTGGTAAAGTGGACACCCCTTCTGTTTAATGGGTTACAGGACTATATTTTTTTTATGTATCCAGCGGTGCAATTTTCATTGATAAGCAATATTAGTATAATAGCACATGCTACAGAATTTGGTAACATTCAAATTTGCATAATCACTTCCCATTTAGAGCCCAAATGTAAAATAGAATTCACTGTTTAGTAGGTTAACCCCAATAAAAGCTTGCATGCATTTAATAATGCTTTTTTTTTTTTTTTTTTTTTTTAAATTGGGGCATATATAAACACAGCTTGCAATAGCTACAAATCTCTTGTCTACAGCCTTTGCAAGTTGTCTCATACTATCCCCGCCTAGACTTCCTGTGACTGTAAAATCACAGACTTCCCAATGCAGCTCAAGTCTTTTCGGCAGGTGCTCTGGGAAATTGTCTTTCTTTTGAGTTTATCTCCACTGAGCTAACCAAACCAGGAAGTAACAGAACCCGATGTCTTATTGTCAGCTAAGCAGGTGTAACAATTTTTATAGAATTCTGCACTCTTTGTAAATGGAAAAAAAATGACACACTCTTCAGACCTACAGCATTTCTGCATGGGTGTCTTGAGGATTGTCCTTTTAATTGCTGCTGTTGTGAAATAGAAAACAAACAGGTCTAGTTACACAGCTGTCCCTTCTGCAAAACCAGTGAAGCAATATATCCAGTAATGTGATGTAGTGCATACAATTAGCTATCCAGGTTGAGGGTCATGCAGAAGCCTTAATTGGCCTCACCTACCATTGACATTTCTTTTGGTCAGCAATACTCTGAAATGCTAAATAGAGGTAATGGTTGGTATATGATTCTGTGTGTTAACTGTAAATGTTTATGTCCTAGATGAGCTTATGGCAGAATCTTTTGCTCTCAGTTTAACTTTCATCATCGAGTGGATGCTGAATATCTTTGAGGGTTTTCATACTTCTAACTAATTTTAGTTTGGTTATTTGTTGCTTGTTGAGTCGGTTTGCTTTGCATGGTCTGTTCACAAATTATGTGGAGTCACTTGCAACTTATGTGATCTCTAGTCAGCTGTAAATGTCATATCACATTACTTTAATGTGTGCTTTAATAAAGAGGTCAAATGAAGGATATCTTGCTAGATTGATTTTGCTGGCTGTCTGTGCATGACCTAGAACTAAGCCATCACAATCGTGGATTATGGGCTGTTTCTTTTAGGAAGGCCTGACGCTGTTCGTTATGAAATTTGGATTTCAGAATACAAATATGATTTTTCAACTTGAAGTATGTCAAACTAACGTGGCCCTTTGAGAATAGTGATGGGTCCTGAGGCAGAAATACAATTGAAACATCATCACTTTTTTTCGCTCAGTACTATTTTGTTCAGACAACAGATGCACATGGAATACATTTGACTAACAATCTATTCATGTTTAAGATTTAAAAAAACAAAAAACAACCAAATAATAGAAGCAAACCATTCAGCAGTAATTGCTATGACATTTACAGTCTGTCAGTTTTATTTATTATTAAACAAAACTGCAATTCTTCATTCCCTTTATTGGACTCTACAAACTCCTGGAAATTGCTAATACTTTTAGAAACATGAAACCTGATCCATCACGGAACAAACTATGGCATGACTTTGCAGCAGTCAATGACTACACTGTATCTCCTGTCACAGATTTTAATGTATGTGGTCAATAGGTAGTGTACATAAATCAGGACTAAGGAATTAGAAGATGCAATATACAGGCTATTATATCATTTTAGCATTGTGGCCATTAAAATGGATATGAAAAAAGGTGAATTGGTGGCACATCTCCCACGTTAAATTACTGTAGGACATCCCTGGTATTAGGGTACTGTGATGTTTGATTTTATGTAACCATGTAAAACTGTATTTTTTTGTGTGTGCTGTTCCTTTATCTGTATTGTGTATTAAAATTGATAAGGTCATTCTATGTCAGAAGAAACCAAAAATGAAGTTTGTATATTGCACTTTTATTGCAGGGTGTCAGCCAGCCTGCGCCCTTCTCAGACGAGCTGGAAATTGACCTCAGTAAACCATACAAACGAGTTACCATGGAAGAAGCAAAGAGGGGAACCCCACGTAAGTTTAAGGCCAAACTTGCAGTGTTTAAAGAATATCTTTCTCATTCTCTCACTGTGTTAAACACTGGCAGGGTTATTAACTAAAGTGAGAATTGAAAATTTTAAATTCAAGGTCAAAGTAGCCAAACTGAAAACATAGCTGACTCAAAGTATTTTTTTTTTTCCATTTCAGCTATTTTGACCTTAAATTTGTGCTCTTCTGGGGTGAACAGTGCAACCAAGGTAATTTTATATTTAAAAAATATATATATATATGCATCTCTGATGCACTTCATTGTTTGTGGCAGTGTCATTTCCCCATGATGATCCCAGGCATGTACTGAGAACATGCACACTAAGACATTCCTTCCTAAAAATATTCACCCTCATGGCACTTCTGGGTTTATTTCATTCCCATAGTATTGGCTGAGCTGGACAACTTTGGTGAGATTTGTTGCGAATGCATGGCAAATTCAAAGTGCATTAAAATTTAAGGCTAAAATATCTGTACTGGAAGCATTCGCTGATTTGCGGAATTTTTCCAGTTCAGTTATTTTGGCTTTACATTTGAAATTCACTATATATTCCCACCAGTTCTCATTTTATTGAATAGCCCTGTTAGCTATTGCATTGTGCATAAATCCCATATCCCGATGCTTGCATCAAGGAAACTAGAAACAACTGTATTAATTGCAGAAAAATGTCCTTCTCACACCCATGTTTCTTATTGTAAAGAGAATATGTTAATGGTTTAAAATTGATAATGCTTCATATTAGGGCTACCGCAATAGAACAACACTATTCTTTGTTGATTTTCTTCACATGGAAGGTGCTACTTTGTAGAATTTCATATACAAATGTTGCAGGAGGTAATTTTTCAAGGCTGTACTTAAATTCTCCTAGGTTTTTTCATTATTTCCCTTCTCTCCTTTGTCACATGTAAATTTGCATTCTGCAATATATATATATATACACACATACATATACACACCTGTGTCTGGTTTCCCTACTTTGCATTCTAAATTTGTCTCTATATAAACTATTTTCCAGTTTTTCTGCATATTCATATAGTCGGAGCTTTATCAAAGAAAAACATGTGCTCTAACAGGAAAATATGCTTAAGAACCATGAACACCAGTAGAATGTCTCTCAACATTTAGTGCTCTGGACACAGAACATAACCTATTTTTCATTGATAAATATCCTTCAGAGAGTGATGAACTCATGTGGAGATATATAGAAGGGTTTGCATGCAGGTTTTTAAAATCTTGCCAAAACTGTAGAATAATCAATTTCTGAATCTACTGTGGTTGATTTTTGTTTCTTTTGTAGCTGACAGACCAGTGAGAGTTTACGCTGATGGAATATTTGACCTGTTCCACTCTGGGCACGCACGAGCTTTAATGCAAGCAAAGAACCTCTTTCCCAACACATATCTGATTGTAGGAGGTAGGATGTGAATCCTGAGATTATGCACATTCTCTCTTGGATGGTGGTTCACAGGTCTCTTGTTTGTTCATAGCTTACACTTTCCAAAAAATTTGTAGCCACACAGGAATACTGCAGATTCTGTGTTTACTGTGCCAAGCTTATATATGCAGTACAAAAACTCCACTCTTAAATGTTCCAGGGCATCATGTATTTATTTGCTTTAATATTCCATATCCAAAAGTCAAAAAGCTGACCAGGTGCAACGGAGACCATTCGTTTTCTGACCACGGTTTGCTGGCACTTGCAGAGTCTTTCCAAATCTCAAACATTAAAACATTTGAATACAGTTATCCAAACTGTTATTTTGTTCTATTATGTTAAGGGGACACTGTAGTCACCAGAACCTCTACAGCTTAATGTCATTTTTCTATAGCCTGTCCCTGCAAAGCACTCAGACGGCCACTAGAGGTGTTTCCTGTGTCATTGCTGAACTGTGTGCAGTACCTACATTCAGTATCTCCACGCTCTGTATGGAGTCGCTGAATGCTAAATGCTCCTCATGCATTGGAGTTGGTTTTGCCGCGCATGCGCAAATGTCTCCCAATACTTTCCTATGGGAAAGCATATGATTTACCTGAGATCAAGATTGAAGATATCAACCATAGAGGCAGGGGGGTCAGTAAATGGCACGCTTCCACATCTCCTCACTCCCCTCATCTGTCTGGGCACAGCTGGTCAAATATTGCCCACATGAAATGCAGAGAACTTGGTTCTTTGTCATATTTATATGTTATAACTATATAACATAAATAGCACTTCAGAATATGTGGGTACCCAATCAATGTATGGATTTTTTTTAAACTGGGGAAACTTTTTTTTTTTTTTTCCTTTTTAGTCTGCAGTGATGAATTGACTCACAACTTGAAGGGCTTCACAGTGATGAACGAGGCAGAACGTTATGATGCAGTTCAGCACTGCCGCTACGTGGATGAGGTCGTGAGGAATGCCCCATGGACTCTCACCCCCGAGTTTTTAGAAGAGCATAGGGTGAGGGAGAAACCACATCTCATGCAACTCAATATTTCCTTCATGACTAATAATTGTATTGGGGTTTTAAGAATATCTGTGGTGCTTGCATCTTCTGTTTGGATGAAGTAAGGATAATTTGGTTGTGCTTGTCAACTATTTAGAGAAAAGCCCTCTTGAATTTCTCCTTAACAGTGGTACTAGTATTATGTGAACAGATATTCGCTTTAGGGTAATTTTCTTCTAATATTTCGCATTCCTTTTTATACGTTTAGTGAAGAAGGGTTTGCTTTGATACTTGAAGAGATTAATTTAAAATCGCACAAATTAGAGTTTGGCTGTTTCAGTTGGTTTAGTCACTGTTAGCTGGGATTAACATTTTTAGTACAGAGAGAGCATTTAGCTGCAAGGGAGACACATTTGTAATCACAGAATCATCCAAATCTCACATCACAGCTCCTATGACTGCTGACAGTTGCTATGTATTGTATCTAATGTACCATGCCTAATATTTCTTCTGTATTTCCACAGATTGATTTTGTAGCACATGATGATATCCCTTATTCGTCTGCAGGAAGTGACGATGTCTATAAGGACATAAAAGATGCAGGTGAGTCTGATGCCATACCCATCTACATATTCCTTTTACAGTGTGCCTTCCCAACCTACTGATTGGCTCTCAATCTGAGGTTATTATTGGAGGGAGGTGGGGTGGGGGGGGGGAATTACCTTTTTCTTCCATTCATTCACTCTTTTAATGCAAATATGCATATGAAGGTAGCTAGTGTATTCATTATTTAATAGTTAAACATACATTCAAATATCACAAATTCCTCGTTACAATAAATGTCCTGGCAATGAATTTTAACACATGTTACTATATTTCCCATGATTCCTTTCTGTTTTCATGGCAAGCCATCTGAGAAATCCAACTTTTAGGAACCGAAAGAAATCCATGGGGAAAAAGTATATTTGCACAAATGCCAGGAGAATGTGTTTTTGAAATACCAGAGTGCATTACCTGCTTCCGTCACCATCAGCAATAATTAAAATTTGACATATTTTACTATGTCTCCGGAACATGCATATAATGTGTACAGATAGAAATATACTGTAAATGTCACAATATACCTTTAATCCCTTCACCAGTGAGCCGCCTACCCTACAAAATCAAATGATAAAAGAAAACTACAAATCTCAGTCTTCATGATGTGTCAAGGAAAGTAATGTGCAGAATCAAGGCATCCAAATTTGAGCATAGCTTGCTGTTTAGGGACACCTAACAATTTAAATCACTTAAATACGTTTCTTCATCCAATGCATAAATAATTAGAGTTGTAAACAAATATGCAGTGAATGGTGAAACTGGCCTCCCTTTCCTTTCGAAAGAATCACAATTAATAACAGAGAAGGGCTGGTTAAATTTATAGTATATACAGTAGGTTTAATAGTGCAATATAAATAAATCTTACATGTATATGCAAGGATTATTACACTGTTTTGGGCAGTCTAAATTACTAAATAGACTGCATCATGTGTAAAATGTCTGACTATAATGCCACGTCCTTACATTATCTAGTGGAAATGGTACAGTAACCTGCAGGCACTTTACAGGGTTGGTGGGGGTGAAATTATGCTGGTCTATCTCTCTGTGCCTATTAGGCATAGGAGAGATGATTTAGTTCTTTTGTGGCATTAGAAGTCTGCAGAGTAGTTAAGATTCCGAAATAAGTTGTTTTGAAACTTCAGCGAATTAACCTTGCATATCTTTATTATTATTATTATTATTATTATTATCCCCATTTATATAGCGCCAACAGATTCCGTAGTGCTTTACAATATTATTAGAGGGGGGGATTTAACTAGAAATAGAACAATTACAAGAAAAAGGAACGGTAGGTTGAAGAGGGCCATGCTCAAACAAGCTTTCAGTCAATAGGAGGTGGGGTATAAAACACATTAGGACAAAACAGAGAAGAGGTAATTCATCTAGGTAGAAATTTAAGATAAATCAGGATTTATCAGGGGTGTAGATGGTATGGATATCACTGTTTATGGGACCAGTTCTATTTATAGCTGTACTCCGAACTAGAAGCCAACCTTCTTCCAGTGTTACACTAACAGGGTTATTCCCCAAACATTGAATTTTCACAAATTAAATCCTAACAGCAAAACTGAAGCAAAAATAGCAATGTTGTTACTGTGGCTGAGTTTGCGAATTTTTCCAGGTCAGCTTTTTTTTCCTCTTGTTTTTTCATTTAGTTTTCAAAACTTAGACGTTGATTTAATAGCACTGCAGGATGAATGGCTACAAGGTAGGCAGTACTTGCCATTATTTTACCATCACAAAACTTGAACTGACTAAGGTTTAAAGCGGCTCTGTCAACTTCTGGGTCATTTGCATATTTTCAAAGACCCCTGTTGGTGATCTCTCCACTCTGGGGACAGTGATTCGGTGGAGCAGAAGAGATGAGCTATATGTACCTAACTGACTAAACTTAACAGCGATGGCAATGCCTTTTTTCAAGCTAGGAATTTACAATAAGACAAAGTAGTCCCTTTTTCATCTTATGCCTTTTTACTGCGTTTGGAACATCAATTAATTTAAATAAAGATTTTTCATTGTGTAAATCTTACATTATTTTTTGGGTTGAAAGAGCTGCTTTCCACCGCAAAAATCTGTGTAGTGCTGTTTTTGGGGGGTTTTTCCCCCCTTTTTCTGCAGTTTTTACACTATTGATTTATAATCGTTAAACTTCTTTGAATGCTTTCTCCTCACAGGTATGTTTGCTCCCACCGAGCGTACAGAAGGTATATCAACATCTGATATTATAACCAGAATTGTACGAGATTACGATGTTTACGCTCGTCGGAATTTGCAGCGTGGTTACACTGCCAAGGAGCTTAATGTCAGCTTCATCAATGTAAGATATGAGTGTGTGTTGTGCTAAAATAATTGTACACAAAACGTTTGTCTGCATTTACCTTTAACGGTATAGATTAAAATATTTTGTAATTCAAATGAGATTTTAAGAGAAATTGCTGCAAAGAAATACATTCTGCTCCATGTTACTTCCAGGAGAAGCGATACAACCTGCAGGAGCGAGTCGACAAGGTTAAAAAGAAGGTAAAAGATGTGGAGGAGAAGTCAAAAGAGTTTGTGCAGAAAGTGGAGGAGAAAAGTATAGACCTTATACAGAAGTGGGAAGAGAAGTCCAGAGAGTTCATTGGGAACTTCTTAGAAATGTTTGGTCCTGAAGGAGCCTTGGTAAGACCTTGGTTCATTCATTGGCCTGTCTTTTTCTTTGTAGAAACTAGTATAAATTATACAGGATTTAAAAAAAATAAAAATAAATAATAATAATAATTTTGACATAAGGTACAAGGTCCGTACAAATAATTTACATGCTGTCTTTGTTAGTTCAAATAATGCTAAAGAAAGTGCTACATGGAGAATCACACACAACCCTATATGGTAATCTGATAACGCTGTTGCATACACACTTCTCTTAGATTTACATTAGAAAGCTTTTCTATAGGGTACTAGTTTTACTAGGTTAAGATAGTTGTGTATCTTGTACCAAGTTTGAGGACATTATGACAGTGGTGGTTAAGCGTTCTCTTCTAATCTTCCACTTGTTAGCCTTCCAGTGCATTACATTGTTCTGTTTGGCAACTACTATGTTATGCAGAGAGAGCTGCTGTGTGCTGTTATGTCATAGGTCTGCGTTCTTGTAACCTACAAATGATTGGTCACCTAGTTTAAAAATTTTGTACATTTCAACAAGATTAGTGTGCATTAAAAGTGCAGTAAAAAAAAATACTTTTTTTTTTTTTAATGTATAAATGTGAGTTATTAGATGAAAGGATATTTTGGAGTTTCTTTGATTTTGTTTTCGGTTAAGTAACTATTTCCTGTTTGTTCCAGAAACACATGTTGAAAGAAGGTAAAGGCAGAATGCTCCAGGCTATTAGCCCAAAGCAGAGTCCTAACAGTAGTCCTACCCGTGATAGGTCACCCTCCCCATCCTTCCGCTGGCCCTTCTCTACGAAGAGTTCTCCACCTGCTTCTCCAGGAAGACGTTCACGGGCCACAACTCGTGCCTATGACATCAGCGAGGATGAGGAAGACTAGTAAGACTTCACTCTTCTGAAATCTTACCTTCAGCTGCTAATTTCATGTCCTCTGAGATCCGGAACTGTGGCAACTCGGTGACGAAAAATGCACTCAGTCTAAGTCTTTTACATCCAGCATTGTGAGCAGAATGGTTGACAAAACTGAGTTTGACAGTAGTTTCAACTCTTGCTTCCTCCCTACAAAGATCAATTATATGTTTTGCATTTTTTTAAAATGAAACATCCCTTCCTTTTTTTAATGAACTCTGTGTACTTGCTTTGTTATTGATTTACTTTTCTGTTTCAATGTTTTATCGCATGAGGTCATTCTTGTCTCCTGTTCTCATCAATTGTATTCAATATTACATTTCCTTTTTGCACATTTCCTCAGCTGTGAACTCCCACTTCAAGAGGCAGTAGAGGATTACCATGTAAATTGATGAGTTTTAGGACTGTATGTGACACAGAGAAGGTGGCGGAAATTGTCACAGTATTGGAGGCATTCATTAAATCCCACTGAACTGGGACTCTGGGGGTTGTGACCAGTGGAGGATCTTAATTGTATTTAATCATTAACCCCTTGGAGTCTAGCCATGTTGCATTAAAAGTGCCTGTTGTCATAACATTTTGATGTGATGTTTGTTACCTCTGTTGTCTTTCATAGGTATTTCCACATACATCTGACACTTATAACCACATACTTCTTGTTCTTGGCCTCCCTGGCCTTTTTTAATTGATATTTTTTACCTAAAGAACATCTTTTCACAGAATATTCATCTACAGTTTTTGCTACAATATTTTAAATATTATTTAAGAAAGTCAAAAATATAATGTGGAACATGTTTTGTGACTTGGGTTTTAGATATTACATTTAAAATGAACCTGTGATAAGGGTCAGTTTAACTAAAATCACCTCTATAGAGGCAGAATATAATATATAATCATGTATATTTTTGAGATATGAACATTACTTGCATTTACTCCAGAGCCACCATGTCCTCAATAATCCGTAACACCCACATGCTTGGTAACACTTCCACATGCAGCAGACTTCCTGCCTGTGCCAGAAGTGCTGACTGCGGAGTATCCATAGCAACCAGCACACATATGTTATGTTTGCTATTCTAGATAGCAGTAGAACCACTTGTTAGATGGGTTCTCCTGCTCTTCCTGTCCGTATATTCTTCAGCATAGAGGTTTATGGCAACTTTGTGCAAAATAACTGACAGGTGAGGAAGGAATCTATCCATAGAGGAACACTCCAAACACATAAAGTAGTAAAACTTCCTGAGTATGCTGTGTGTGAACTATTTGTCCCCTCTTTCTTATTTTATATAAGAGCTGATTTCAAAAGACATCAGACATATTTTTTCTTCTTTATTTTGTAAAAAGAGCATAAATTGATTAATTGACAGAATATATGTATACATTAGGCACAATGACAGTTGAACATCAATAGTACATTACTTTGTGTAGCACATTCAATGTCATATGTCAACAATTGTCCATCCACTGCTCTCTTTTTTAAGATGGAACACCTGACCCCAGCACAGTGAACACACAGGTCTTATCCCTGGGGCAGAGGAACCACACTCATACAAGGTTAGGGAAATGAAGGGTCAGAGTAGAATGGTTCAAGTCAGTCTTCCCCCCTGTGCTAGACTTTGCTATCTTCACTGACTCTGTTCACAATAACCAAAACTACTATGAGGTAGTTTTGTAAACTATCACTATAAGTTAACCATGGCTGCCACACATTTTCAAAGACTGCTTCAGTGTTGCGAACTTGCGCTGTTACCAATTCCATTAAGAAATTATCTTTAACCCCTTAAGGACCAAACCTCTGGAATAAAAGGGAATCATGACATGTCACACATGTCATGTGTCCTTAAGTGGTTAACCTTCAAAATAATTTTATCATTATCCAGGATTCCAGAGCTCATCCATACCTGCACCAATGCTCCCTTAGATACTTTGTTGTGGCAGTACACAATCTAAGAGTTTAGCCAGTAAAAAGTTCCATAGGTCTGTCTAAATAAGACTGTCAGGTTGTGCTCAGTAAAGCCCATACCCTTTCCAAATATTCCTGAACCCTAGGGCAATCCTACCACATTTGGATATGTTTCCTGACCTTCGCAGTCCTTCCAATAGTCATCTGTCGTGGTCTTTCACATTTTGCAGTGCTGTCCCAGTGTCGTGTACCGTATATATCGATATAAAATCTTATAGGTCTTCTGCTGATGGGTGATGCATATTGAGGATTAGGCTGCAGCCTCCCATATATCTTCCCAGTCCCCTCCCTGTAATGTTTGCCCAAGGCCAATTTTTTTATATATTTCAAGATCCCCCAATCCCCTGCAGTGTCACTGATGTGTGCGGATAACGTTGAAATAAGCCCTTTCTGCATCTTCTCTACATTCAGAAGTACTCAAAAAAAAGGTCAAGGGCCTATTGGCCGCCCTGACTTCCTCATCCTGAGCAAAATCCCTCAGCTGTAAGAACTAAAAGAAGTCTCTGGTTGTCAGGGATGCAGGTTGTTTGAGATCTTCGAATGTAAGTAAGTGTTCATCTGGGTTAAAGTGGCCATATCTCTGGGCTCATGTTTTCAATGCCTTGGAAATCTCTAGCCCGGAGACCTGGTATAAAAGCAATGTTCCTCAGAAATGGGGTGAGAGGGGATGGAATCGTTGTACAAATCAGCACTTTTATCAGTCTTAGTTAAACCTTCCCAGCTGTCAATCATTTAAGTGGCACTGTCATGGCCGAATCCTGTTGTGGTTTTTTTTTAACCCTCCCTCCCGACTCCACTAGATCTAATTGTCCCCTTAGTCACCCCAAATTTCCCTAAGCCCCCCCCAATGTTACCTATTTTTTAATATTAAATTTCTGCCAGACCTAGGTCCTGGGCTTCGCCATCTTTGTGTGGGTAGATGAAGTCCTTGTGGGACACGTCATCTACCCATACTAGATAGTGCTGTGAAATTCTCGCGCACGCCCAATTAAACACTTGGGAATGTGAATGAGAATTTCATCTATTAATTTGTCAGAAAGCCGAATAAATTAATAGAAATTTCAAAAAAATGAACGAAGACCTCTTCGTTTGTTTGGTTTTTTACAAGGAAGCAGCTACCGGCGCGCAGCTCCGTCCTTGGAATATGTAAAAATAGAAGCGGAAGGGAGCAGTGCTCCCCGCCACTTCCAAACCCCCCCATGTCCTCTCTCACTCTATGGGGGTCAATATGACCCCCATAATAGCATAAAGGAGATTTAAGTCTCCCATATGCCCCTACTCGCTATGGGCCCTAAACGGAAATATGGGGTGGACCTATTGTGCCTTTCATTAAATCCCACGAGCGGCGGGTGGGGACCCTAAATGATTATGAGGGACCCATTGTCATTCCCCCTCAGCCCTTACCCATGGGCAACAGATGGGTGCTAAATGTACACCCCCCCCCCCCCAGGTGACTAGGGTCCCCAATCCCCTAGTCACCTCCCCACCCAAATGTAATATAGACCAGCCTACCGCCTTCACCCTAAAAATAGTGAGGGGGAACAAGAAAACTAAATACCTGTAAATAAAAAAGAACTTTGTCTTCTTTTTCTAAAATCTTCTTATTTCTGCTCCCCAAAAAAACATAAAAATCCATAATAACCGTTGCAACTGTTAAAATATTTTTTTTTTTTTTTAAACGCAAAAATAAAAAAAGACGGGGGGAAAAAACAACCAGATGCCCAAAAAAATTATCTGTCTTCACCCAGCAAAGGCACAGTGCAGACTGAGCTCCACAGAGCGGGGAAAGGCTTATAAATCTTTCCCACGCCCTGCAATTTGATTTGGAGCACTCTGGTTGATTTCAAGTCTCTACAGTTACCTGTCACAGCACTCTGATTGGTTGGCTTGAAATCCAACCAGTCAGAGAGCTCTGTGTCATTTTACACAGTGTGGGAAAGTTCTTTGGAATTTCCCCATCCTGTGTAATTTGACGCATACCACTGTGATTGGTTGCTTTTCAAAAGAGATGGTCAGGCGTAGGAAACCTCCATAAGACAAAATGGTCCCTACTTTGTCTTATGTTTTAAATAAAAATAGAGCAGACAGGAAGAAATGAAGAACAGATCCTGACAGAGGGAGAGAAGAGAAATCGATTGGGGAAAGGTAAGTTTGGCATGACAGTGCCGCTTTATGTCATTAAAAGGGCTATTGCTGTGCTTACCTCCATACTATTTTTAACAGTATGTGAATACATTTTAATTCTGGAATTCAGACTCACGTGCGTTCAACATTGTTGTGCATCCACATGAAACTTTTTAGTTTGCTTTTTCTTCCTCCCTCTTTTTGAGTGTTTTAATAGAGAAGCACTTGATCCACTCCTGAGGGTAGAGTGGAGTTAAGTTGGAACGAAGTCCAAATATTAAAAAAAGAATGAAGAAACACTTCTATGTTAGAAATAAATATATTTATTTCTAAAGCTTGAGTGTTTTAAGTAGGTTTTTCTCCTAGTACACTTGCTACAAATTTTGCTAACACAATATACAGATTAAATTTAATTGAACAACATTTGTGTGCACCAGGATGGGTACACTGTAGGGATTCACAAGCTCAGTTATTCTCTAAGCGAAAAAAAACCCATTGAAGAAATTTTACAAACCTTATATTGAATATGATCTGTTTATACAAAGTTGTTGCAAAGTACCATCTTCATCATCATTGAGAATTTTATAGTCCAGGTCAGAAGGTACTCAAAAGCTAAATATCACCCCTGGAAAAGGAATGAACAGAATTTTTATTCACTCAGTCTGCCAAATGGCATTATGTAAAAAAATCTATGTTCACATCAAGGTTTGCTTAAAGGGATACCGTAGGCACTATAGCCATTTAATTTCTTTGAGGTGGCTATAGTACCTCGTGTCCCATGGCACCATTCATTTTCAAGCACTGAACAAGGCTCCTTGGTCTTCCAGAGCTTGATCCCAGTGGAGGTATGGATGAGGTAGAGATTACACATTTCCTATATCATACCAGCGGTGGGTGGCTGTGATAGGCTGAAAAGGTTATATGCATCCATCCATGGCGCTAGTGTATGAATGGAAGGCGCAACACTGATATCTTGGATGAATGTGAAGGATTCCTTTGTGGGTGAACCCCACTCTTCTGAATTGACACCTCCCTGCATGTGACTTACACAGCCTTCCTTAACACCTTATATAAAGAGAAATCTAATGTTTAAACTTTATTGCAAATTCAGTTTAAATTATTTAGACTTTTGTATCTTCTGCTCTGTTCATAGCCTTCTAGGCCCTGCTGGAGTCTCTTGTTTGTGAAAAAATGTCAATTCACACAGCAGGAGTTAACCATTTCTAAAGCAAGTTAACATCGGGTTGAAGATAAAACAACTTTACAGGTTCTGTAAGTCACAGCCAGGGGAGTTGTAGCTGCATAGACAGAAACAAAAGTGATTTAACTCTTACGTAGCAGAGAATTAAGCAGTGAGATTCCATGGGCATGATATTTACCCCCAAAACTGTTTCATTAAAAAAAATTTGTTCTAAAGTTTATGGTATCACTTTAAGTGCTTAGTGTATTTTTATAATTTGGTTTGAGATTTCAGATGTTCAGTTGAATCTGAAGAGGCTGACATCCGATCAGGGCTGGTGCTAGGATTTTTGCCGCCCTAGGCATTCAAAAATTTGCCACCCACCCATGTGATCTGCCATATGAGCCAACGTCAGTGCTGCACACAGTGTCTTCTCTCTGAACAGGCAGTGTGTTTACATTAAAAAGCCTGCCTAGACCGGCTATAGATACCAGAACTACTAAATCAAGCTGTAGATGGTTCTGGTTTAATGTGAGGTCAATTGGGCGTTAGTGCCATTAATAATATACTGGATTGCCTACTTACCACTAGATGAGGACAAGAGGATGATGATCTTTGTTAATTGTATCACAGGCAGAGGGGAGGGATTGTGTACACTGTATGGGAGTGTCTGAATGTAAACCTCTGGTTTTATTGGCTTGTATGTTTTGTATTCGGTGCCCAACTAGGTCCACCTGGGCGTGGCCTTTGCTGTAAAACTTGTATAAAAGACCAGTGAGTGCCATTAAACTTTCTGTTCTTGATTTACCCTCAATCTTGTCTCTTATTGGGGGAAACTGCTACAAGGGATTGCTATGCTCTTCGTACTCCTTTGAATAATCACAAGCTCTTGTAAGAGCTGTTCCTGCTTCGCTCTCTGGAGGAAGAGAGGTTCACCCACTGGAACCTGAAGCCTTGCCGTAGGTCCAGGGTAGGTAGGAGACGGTGAGACCCAAACTAAGCTGCGGTGGTTTGTGGGGTCTGCAGTACTTATGGTGTCTGGAGAAGTGCTTGGAGCCCTCGGTAAGCACTAGGAGCATCTGTCGGCGGAGGTACCCAACCGGGGTACACGAAGTTCCGTTACAGTCCTTAATTTCCCTTGTTTTTTTTTGTTCTTTTTAAAACTAGAGCACTCAGGAAATAAATAAAAATAACTTCAAACACAAGGAACCATGTAGAAACATATTTGATAAAGTTTATTTTTGGTGACAGACGCTTTAAGTGGAACATTCGGGAAGGCAAACTGTAAAATGCAGTTGAAAAGCAAAGAAGTGAAAACAGGATAAGAAATCTATCAAATGAGTGGGTAGTAACTCTTGCACATACATGTACCTTTTTTGAACATTTTGCAAAGTACACACAGCTGCACTAATGAGTAAGAACCTTGTGTTTATCGTCGAAAAATGTAAACAAAACTCCTGCAAAAAAATACCTTCTGTGTAGGGTAGTGAAGCACATGGCTCGAGAAAGACATATTACAAACACTGGAGTGGACTATCCTGTTATTTGAGGTTCTCCTACTATATAACGTGTCATTTGGAGCCTGTGTTTCAAATGGATAGATTCAAATGGGGATCTGGCAGGGGTGTATTTTGAAATATAACCTTTTTTTTCTTATTCTTTCTTTTTTAATACTACTTATCACCAATGAAAATATTTTAGATTTAATGCACTTCAATGGCTAGATTGGTTACATTGTGAGCCTAGTATCTTCCTTTAAAGCCGTATTGATCGCTGACAGAGATTCATAGTTTTTCGTTAGTCAATCTTTATTGGCGTGGTCTGATGCATACATCAAGAGCATCACGGTCACCAGCTGGACAGACGGGCTAGCAAATTGTAACTTTCTAGCCTGTACCCTGTAATTCTCCCAGGCACATGGTTATAATAATTTAAAGACATATCTTCTTATGTCAAAGGATATCAGCAGTTGGATTTCACTATGGTCTTGTCAATCTTTCCGATATATAATTAACATTGACTCAAAAGATGCAGCAAAATAGTCTCAATCGAATATTGACATGATCAATACAGAAAAGCAAAATCGGGAATGTTTGTATAAGATTTTGGCATGTTCTAAATATAAACAGTAAAAAAAAGGTCAGCCTCAGCCAAATATATGACTAAATAAAAGTGTTCTGTCTATAGTCTTGGAGGCATGAATACAGTTTCTAAGTACTTACAGACTTAATTACAACCATTCCGCAGCAACAGATGTAACATGTCTTGACAAGAATTCTGTATTCGTGAAGAGTCATCGCAACATATTATTTTGCCCTTGCACTTTCATTAAGGAGTTTGAATGCATTATACCAAATCTAAATGTATATTATACACACAATATGTGGGGAAACAAAGTAGAAGGAGTCAATGTACTGTGATTACTAATTGGAGGTCCTACTCATCACACAGCCACTGGCTTAAGGGTGAATCCTGGTTCGTTGTCTCTTCTTCTGTAGGCCCCCCTCACCAGGACTGAAAGAATGAAAGCCTCCACAATCAGCAACTGGTTGTTCATCACTAGATAAAACCAAACATATAGCTGGGTGAATAACAACTGAAAAGGTGTGACAGGTTGACAATGCAAAACAAAATATCCTTCTCTAATTTGTCCACATATTATGCGAATGAGAGTTAAAAATCACTTAATCAATAATCATTTAGTGTTCTATTCCCGCATCACCAAAACTAGTTCTTTGTGGCGAGGTGTGTATTTTATAAATACATTGATCCTCCATAGGCTACCCCATACCGTCTCTTCTAATGTGCAAAGTGGAAGGTTTTATTGAATTGCATAGGGCGTGAGCATACAGCCATTCACTTGTTTTTTACAGTGAACGTCTGGTCTATGAGACCCCACTTTTCTGAGCAATGTATAATATCCATTATATACAAATACTGCTAAAATGTCCTTCCATAATATTGTCCATATCCCACCTGTAATATGTCAGGGAAATAACCAATCCACCATTGTATCCATGGATTAAAATAATGTCCATAGTCCCAAGTAGGTATGGGCGTGGGCATATCTTCTCTTACATACATTAAATAAAATAATATATTTTAAAACAATACCAGTATAGTAGTTCCAAGAAAAGCCTAGTGCCCCTTCATGATATTATGGGGCTGAGGGGGCGTGGAACTCAGCATTTATAAAAGAATCCCTTAATCCAGAGGATATAGTAGAGCATTAAGAAGCATGTTTACATGCTCTGTGTTATCAGTCCTCCCATCAATTCCCATTATTGGTCCTGGTGGGTTATTTATTTTGTCATTTTGCAGGAAATTCTGTCTGCAGCCATCATGTCTAACTATCTATCCATATCATAATCTTATGTATTTCATTTTTATTATTATTATTATTATTACTATTGGTATTTATATAGCGCCAACTAATTCCGCAGCGCTTTACAATATTATGAAATGGGGAAAGTTACAATAAATTAGACAACTACACAGTGACACAGGAACAATAAGGAGATGAGGGCCCTGCTCAAACGAGCTTACATGATTGTGTAATCTGAAATAAGAGGAATTAAGTAATGAAACTTGCTTGATATGTGGTCTCTCTTACTGGTCTATAGTGCCAGCAATACTTGTACATTTTAGAACCCTAACTTTGTGTACCTAGGATGTACATATAGCTTGTAAGCTGTGTTACAAAGAACATTAGACTCACTCTGAGATCTGGCTTTATACATATATGGTGGCACACAAGGCAGCTGTCCAACACTAGCCAGGATGTTGAAGATTGAGCTCTGCAGAGTAGTCAAGATGAGGAGAATCTAAAAAATGAAATAACAATTAATATGATGATATCTCTAAAAAAAAAAAAATAGTTCATAGTAAATATTTTGGATGATGCTTACAATAGCTGTTGTTGCTGGCCAAAATTAGTGTAAATGTGAGCACAAGGCTTATTTCTGTGTGGTTCTATGTTGAAATACTATCTAAAACAATATAATGTTTTCAAAATCATTAAATAAAGTATTGAATCTCAAACACATGGGATTGTTACAAACCTTGATACTTGGGGAAACAAGAAGTACCTGGTTTAAGGAAAACACATATTTTCTGTTCATCCATAAATATAAAAAACAATGCATTTTCAAGTATATGTTGCATTTCTTGTTGTTTTCATTACAACAAAGGTTGCCCTGTTTTCTGTAATTGGTGTCCTTAAACCTAGCAAAGCATTATGGGGTTTGTAGTTCTACAATAGCCAGGGATCTACATTTTGGCCACCCCTAATATAATGCTTGCACTGGAAGCCAACCCTCCTTGGCTTGGAGTTTGGCCTTTATAATTCTGCTACGTGTTGACTTTTTGCGTAACCTAGTGGATTAGAAGTTCTCCTTCTTGCATGTTCTACCCTTATACTTGATGCTTATCTTTTTCTGGGTACTTATCAGCTAGATTACATGATTTGTTGTGGTAACTGTATTTTCCATGATGATGTTCTCTGCTATCTTTTATCTCAGTTATTTTTAACAGTAACCACACTGTCTGGTTCTTGTGCCTTAAAGGCACACTGCACTCCACTGCAGAAATAAATAAATAAATAAATAAATACAATCAATGTATTTACTCTCAATGAAAACATGCATGCATTTAATTATGAATCTTTTCATTGGAGTTGTATCTAAAACAGATTGCAAAAGCTGCAGCTTTTTTATGTAAAGCCTTTGCAAGTCCTCCCCTTCTTTCCAGCCCAGACTTTCTATGGCTGCCCAATTACAGACTTCACAGTCTTTGCTAGGCAGGTGCTCTGACCAATTGCCTGTCTATTGAGTTTAGCTCCACTGAGCTAAGCAATCAGGAAGTAACATGACTGGCTGTCTAACTGACAGCTGGGGGTGTAACAAGGATTATTTAGAAAAGTGTCAGTTTCTACAGGGAGTGCAGAATTATTAGGCAAGTTGTATTTTTGAGGATTAATTTTATTATTGAACAACAACCATGTTCTCAATGAACCCAAAAAACTCATTAATATCAAAGCTGAATATTTTTGGAAGTAGTTTTTAGTTTGTTTTTAGTTATAGCTATGTTAGGGGGATATCTGTGTGTGCAGGTGACTATTACTGTGCATAATTATTAGGCAACTTAACAAAAAACAAATATATACCCATTTCAATTATTTATTATTACCAGTGAAACCAATATAACATCTCAACATTCACAAATATACATTTCTGACATTCAAAAACAAAACAAAAACAAATCAGTGACCAATATAGCCACCTTTCTTTGCAAGGACACTCAAAAGCCTGCCATCCATGGATTCTGTCAGTGTTTTGATCTGTTCACCATCAACATTGCGTGCAGCAGCAACCACAGCCTCCCAGACACTGTTCAGAGAGGTGTACTGTTTTCCCTCCTTGTAAATCTCACATTTGATGATGGACCACAGGTTCTCAATGGGGTTCAGATCAGGTGAACAAGGAGGCCATGTCATTAGATTTTCTTCTTTTATACCCTTTCTTGCCAGCCACGCTGTGGAGTACTTGGACGCGTGTGATGGAGCATTGTCCTGCATGAAAATCATGTTTTTCTTGAAGGATGCAGACTTCTTCCTGTACCACTGCTTGAAGAAGGTGTCTTCCAGGAACTGGCAGTAGGACTGGGAGTTGAGCTTGACTCCATCCTCAACCCGAAAAGGCCCCACAAGCTCATCTTTGATGATACCAGCCCAAACCAGTACTCCACCTCCACCTTGCTGGCGTCTGAGTCGGACTGGAGCTCTCTGCCCTTTACCAATCCAGCCACGGGCCCATCCATCTGGCCCATCAAGACTCACTCTCATTTCATCAGTCCATAAAACCTTAGAAAAATCAGTCTTGAGATATTTCTTGGCCCAGTCTTGACGTTTCAGCTTGTGTGTCTTGTTCAGTGGTGGTCGCCTTTCAGCCTTTCTTACCTTGGCCATGTCTCTGAGTATTGCACACCTTGTGCTTTTGGGCACTCCAGTGATGTTGCAGCTCTGAAATATGGCCAAACTGGTGGCAAGTGGCATCGTGGCAGCTGCACGCTTGACTTTTCTCAGTTCATGGGCAGTTATTTTGCGCCTTGGTTTTTCCACACGCTTCTTGCGACCCTGTTGACTATTTTGAATGAAACGCTTGATTGTTCGATGATCATGCTTCAGAAGCTTTGCAATTTTAAGAGTGCTGCATCCCTCTGCAAGATATCTCACTATTTTTGACTTTTCTGAGCCTGTCAAGTGCACATTAGACCTCTTCATAGGAAAGCATTGAATCAATTCTTTCCTATGGGGAAAAAAATCTGATGCTGGAGGTACTCCAGCAGCATGAGTACCTCCAGCATCAGATTTTTTTCCCCATAGGAAAGAATTGATTCAATGCTTTCCTATGAAGAGGTCTAATGTGCATTTTCTGCTCATGCACATTAGCACGCGCATGTCATAGACCGTCAGAGGGGGTGGAGTATCGACCCAGCGCTTAGAGACATTGGTGCTGGGGAAAGGTAAGTAAATAAAATAGTTTTAACCCTTTATTTACCTGGGCGGGGAGGAGGGGTGCGAGGGAGGGGGAGAAAGGGGGAGCTATAGTGGCAGGAACACAGCTTTGTAGTCCTGGAGCTATAGTATCCCTTTAATGATATACAGTTGTGGTAATATGTATACCCTAAGTTACTACTAAACAAGGCTATAAATGTAGAAGTATATTTTTTTAACTACACAAAATATCTCTTTGTCTAACTATTCATTGCTTTATTTGCTACAAAACTCATTACAAAATGTAATTCTTTTTAGAAAAGATATATATTGCATTTTTGTCTGTTGTCATGAATAGAATGTTTGCATATTCTCAGTAACAAATTTAAAGAAGCACTATATATATATATATACACACACACACACATATATATATATATATATTGCAGCTGAATCTACATTATGATAAATAGTTGCAGTTTGCAAGACTGTCTGTTGTTAAAGAGATACTTGGTACCCACCAATCTGCCAAGGTTTATAAAGATATCTCCTGTGCCCTGTTTTTGTTGTTGAGAAGACCAACTGTATCTTTACCAAACAATTGTACTACCCCAACTAACAAAACAATACATTGAGGTGTGTTGACAACCAAACTGAAAAATAAAGGCCATAATAGCAAAGTTTGAAAATCATCTCTTTTTTTTCATTGACACCAATTATGGGTATTGCAGAAAATGTTCCTATATAAAATTCACAATGTGATCTAAATTTGGTTCACACTGTCTTATTCAGGCTTATTCACTAAAGTGAGAATTCAGAGTGAATTACAAATTTAATGACAAAATAGCCAACTGAAAAATTCTCCAAGTCAGTTATAATTCCAGTTTGACTATTATGGCCTTAAATGTGGAATTCACTTTGAAGTCTCATTTTAGTGAATAAATCCTTGTATGCTCATAGATCGTATTGTGAGAAAAGTAAGTAGTGGAAATTGTAAGTCTTACCTGGAAAACTGCAAACTTTGTCCCAATGTTCTGCTCAGCCAGCTGTGTTCTGGCTTCACGAAACAGAATTCCAATGGGCCACAAAGCAATTACAGTAGAAAACCCAAGGATGGAGTTCATCCAGAGTGCAACGCTTCCAAGAGACAACTATAACAGCAAAACAGTTATTACATTACACAACATGCTGTTATACTGTAATGGTCACAATATGAAGGAGTAATAAGAGGAAATGTCACCCCCACTCCTTTAATTTCATGACTTAAGGTCACACTATAAGGGCATCTGAGAATTTATAGTCAAATATTGCTATTGTAATGTGCTCTCTGTACACACCTTTTTATTGAGTGATGAGGTACGGTATGTTTAATGTTTTTTATACTTTTCTTTTACTTTTTTTTTTTAACCTATGCAGGTATATTTTCAAGGGGTATTGTTTTGTATGCCCATATGACTTGATTGTCTCTTCTTAATTGACTAGGTACAGAATGCCAGTATTAGTCTACAGGCATCCATAATTTGTATGTAACTTCCATCATTATCAGAAACCTTTCCACATCAGTTCAGCAACATGGAGCAAATAAACATTTGAAGTGTTCAGGGGTATAATCAGAATTAAACAAAATTTTAATTTCAATATCTAACATTACCACAATGGAGTATATTGCATTCTATCCAAACCATCATGTATTATTTATGGTTCTTAATTTTGACTGTAGGCATCATTAAAACTTTGCATCATTGCAAAGGTTATTGCATATAGAGCCCACTGCCCTTGTGTCACAGCACGCATTTGCATTGCAAGCTCCCTGCCTTGGTGTTTGAAGGGATTCTTGTATACATTTATTGTGTTTTAATACAGGAGTGTGTTTGTATGTAATATTTGTGTTTGATTGCAGGGGTGTGTCTGAATGTAATGTTCACTTTTAAATGTGGATGTACATTTGTGTGAGGTATTTGTGTTTCTGTGAAGGGCTGTGTTTATATATATATATTTTTGAGATTGAATGCAGGGGTGTGTTTGTATGCAATATTTGTGTTAGATTGCAGGAGTGTGCTTGTATGTTGTGCTGGTGTTTGACTGATTAGATGCATGCACACTACAACATACATGCATATTTACACAGATATTCATGCACATTAACATAGAGATGCATATAAATGCATATAGACACCGACATATACACACATATAGATACACACTGACACATACACACACATACACACATAGATACACACCGACATACACACATGCACCCTGACACACACAAACATTAATACATGCCCACACCATGACACATATACACACACTAAGTCAAAAAAGAAATATCCAGGCACTCAAGTTTTAAAGCCGCAGGTGGTTCCTACAACTATCTTAGCAACATATACTCCCACTGACATAAAAACACACACCCTGACACACAGAGGCACATACAGAGATGTGTGCATAAAAACAGACACAGAAGCACACTGTCATATATATATATATATATATATATATATGCACACACACACACACACACTCACAAACATCCTGACACACACACACATACACACACTGGTGCACACACACGTACACATACTCACACTCATACATATACATGTGATACTCGAAAAATTCGAATATCGTGCAAAAGTTCATTTATTTCAGTAATGCAATGTAAAAGGGGAAACTAATATTTGAGATAGATGCATTACATGCAAAGCAAGATAGTTCAAGCTGTGATTTGTCATAAGTGCGATTAAGTGCTCATGAAAACCCCAAATCCACAATCTCGGTAAATTAGAATATTGTGAAAAGGTGCAATATTCTAGGCTCACAGTGTCCCACTCTAATCAGCTAAGTAAGCCATAACACCTGCAAAGGGTTTCTGAGCCTTTAAATGGTCTCACAGTCTGGTACAGTAGGAATCACAATCATGGGGAAGACTGCTGACCTGACAGTTGTGCAGAAAACCATCATTGACACCCTCCACAAGGAGTGAAAGCCTCATAAGGTAATTGCGAAGAAAGTTGGATGTTCCCAAAGTGCTGTATCAAAGCACATTAATAGAAAGTTATGTGATAGAGAAAAGTGTGGAAGAAAAAGGTGCACAAGCAGCAGGGACGACCGCAGCCTGGAGAGGATTGCCAGGAAAAGGCCATTCAAATGTGTTGGAGACTTTCACAAGGAGTGGACTGAGGCTGGAGTCAGTGCATCAAGAGCCACCACACACAGACGGATCCTCGACATGGGCTTCAGATGTCGTATTCCTCTTGTCAAGCCGCTCCTGAACAACAAACAACGTCAGAAGCGTCTTACCTGGGCTAAAGAAAAACAGACCTGGTGGTCTGTGCTCAGTGGTGCTCAGTGGTCCAAAGCCATAAGAAAACACATACTCTATGCTAATCTCAGTCTAATTTATGCTTTCATCTTTCAAGTAAATCCATACCCCCTAACAGCAGTGTCCAGTGAAGCAGGAAGTCAATGGGCAGGGAAAAAGGGAGTGTCACTGGTGCGAATCACGTGACCAGAACTGCTAAAAGGGGTGAACATGCCCAAAAAGAATTGGAAGGCCAGCCTAGCATGAATGCATGTCAGGCTGCCTGTCAATCATGCAGGCTGTCCAACTAAGGGCATACTATGCAGGCAGCACTCTGAGCTTGACATAAATGCATCAAATGATGCGCCTACTCCACGCTTTCTAAGGACTGTCCCCTAGCACTCACATGTCCACTTGACTCCTTACCATCTTACTAGCAGGCAGAAGTTCCTGGTATATAGTCTGGGACAGAGTAAAGGTGTATGCATAGGCGTGCGCACGGGGTGTGCCGGGTGTGCCTGGGCACACCCTAATCCCCGCGGCGCGCCTATGGAGTGAGACAGGCAGGGGAGATCTCAGGATCTCCCCTGTCAGCTCATGCAGAGCCAGCGCTATCCGAGCGCCGGCTCTGCTCTAAGCCTCCCTCCCCACATGCAGGGAGGGAGGCAGGAGAGGACCCGGGGAGCTCAACCAGCAGCTCCGCCGTGTTCCTCTCACGAGATCTGAGCATTTCAGCGGCAACGCTCAGATCTTGCGAGAGTGAACTCTAGCCCCACTCTCCACTGGACTAGTGATGTCGCGAACACAAAATTTTCGGTTCGCGAACGGTGAACGTGAACTTCCGCCATAGACTTCAATGGGCAGGCGAATTTTAAAACACACAGGGGCTCTTTCTGGCAACAATAGTGATGGAAAAGTTGTTTCAAGGGGACTAACACCTGGACTGTGGCATGCCGGAGGGGGATCCATGGCAAAACTCCCATGGAAAATTACACAGTTGATGTAGAGTCTGGTTTTAATCCATAAAGGGCAGAAATCACCTAACATTCCTAAATCACAATCAATATGGATTGACACCTGACATATGACATATTGACACCTTGACATATGGATTGACACCTGTCCTCAGAGCCCCTGATGCACACGGATACAGAGCAGAATAGAGACTGGTCCCCCTACATAGGGTCACTTGGCAGATATGGATTGACACCTGTCCTCAGAGACCATGATACACACGACACAGAGCAGAATAGAGACTGTTCCCCTACATAGGGTCACTTGGCAGATATGGATTGACACCTGTCCTCAGAGATCCATGATACACACTGACACAGAGCAGAATAGAGACTGTTCCCCCTACATAGGGTCACTTGGCAGATATGGATTGACACCTGTCCTAAGGATCCCTGATACACACTGACAGAGCAGAATAGGGACTGGTCCCCCTACATAGGGTCACTTGGCAGATATGGATTGACACCTGTCCTCAGAGACCATGATACACACTGACACAGAGCAGAATAGAGACTGTTCCCCTACATAGGGTCACTTGACAGATATGGATTGACACCTGTCCTCAGAGACCATGATACACACTGACACAAAGCAGAATAGAGACTGTTCCCCCTACATAGGGTCACTTGGCAGATATGGATTGACACCTGTCCTCAGAGACCATGATACACACTGACACAGAGCAGAATAGAGACTGTTCCCCTACATAGGGTCACTTGGCATATATGGATTGACACCTGTCCTCAGAGACCATGATACACACTGACACAGAGCAGAATAGAGACTGTTCTCCTACATAGGGTCACTTGGCAGATATGGATTGACACCCATCCTAAGGATCCCTGATACACACTGACACAGAGCAGAATAGAGACTGTTCCTCCTACATAGGGTCACTTGGCAGATATGGATTGACACCTGTCCTCAGAGATCATGATACACACTGACACAGAGCAGAATAGAGACTGTTCCCCCACATAGGGTCACTTGGCAGATATGGATTGACACCTGTCCTCAGAGACCATGATACACACTGACAGAGAGCAGAATAGAGACTGTTCCTCCTACATATGGTCACTTGGCAGATATGGATTGACACCTGTCCTCAGAGCCCCTGATACACACTGACACAGAGCAGAATAGAGACTGTTCCTCCTACATAGGGTCACTTGGCAGATATGGATTGACACCTGTCCTCAGAGACCATGATACACACTGACAGAGGAGAATAGAGACTGTTCTCCTACATAGGGTCACTTGGCAGATATGGATTGACACCTGTCCTCAGAGACCATGATACACACCGACACAGAGCAGAATAGAGACTGTTCTCCTACATAGGGTCACTTGGCAGATATGGATTGACACCTGTCTTCAGAGATCATGATACACACTGACACAGAGCAGAATAGAGACTGTTCCCCTACATAGGGTCACTTGGCAGTTATGGATTGACACCTGACCTCAGAGACCATGATACACACTGTCAGAGAGCAGATTAGAGACTGTTCCCCCTACATAGGGTCACTTGGCAGATATGGATTGACACCTGTCCTCAGAGACCATGATACACACCGACAGAGAGCAGAATAGAGACTGTTCCCCCTACATAGGGTCACTTGGCAGATATGGATTGACACCTGTCCTCAGAGACCATGATACACACTGACAGAGAGCAGAATAGAGACTGTTCCCCCTACATAGGGTCACTTGGCAGATATGGATTGACACCCGTCCTCAGAGCCCCTGATACACACTGACACAGAGCAGAATAGGGAATGTTACCCCAACATAGGGTCACTTGGCAGATATGGATTGACACCTGTCCTAAGGATCCCTGATACACACTGACACAGAGCAGAATAGGGACTGTTCCCCCTACATAGGGTCACTTGGCAGATATGGATTGGCACCTATCCTAAGGATCCCTGATACACACTGACACAGAGCATAATAGGGACTGTTCCCCCTACATAGGGTCACTTGGCAGATATGGATTGACACCTATCCTAAGGATCCCTGATAAACACTGACACAGAGCAGAATAGGGACTGTTCCCCCTACATAGGGTCACTTGGCAGATATGGATTGACACCTGTCTTCAGAGACCATGATACACACTGACACAGAGCAGAATAGAGACTGTTCCCCCTACATAGGGTCACTTGGCAGATATGGATTGACACCAGTCCTCAGAGACCACGATACACACTGACACAGAGCAGAATAGAGACTGTTTCCCCTACATAGGGTCACCTGGCAGATATGGATTGACACCTGTCCTCTGAGCCCCTGATACACACTGACACAGAGCAGAATAGAGACTGTTCCTCCTACATAGGGTCACTTGGCAGATATGGATTGACACTGTCCACAAGGACAAGCTGCAGGCTTCCTGGCAGGGCCCATACAAGGTGGTAGAGCAGGTTTGTGATACCACCTTTGTGATTGGTGCGGTCACAGGCACGGGAGGCAAGCGCATGCTCCATGTGAACATGCTCAAGCCATACCACGAAGAGGTAACCGCGATCTGTGCACCTGCCACTGAAGATTATGATAATTTGCCACTCCCAGATCTCCTAGACCTAGAGGGCCAGAGCGGAGACCTGGGAGAAGTACAGTTAGGAGAACGGTTAGACCCCCACGAGCGAACCTAGGTCCAAAGACTAATCCAGGACAAGGGGGCCACGTTTTCCAACCTACCTGGGTACAGTCCATTAACCACTCACAAAGTTGAAACCCTAGACCAGACCCCCCTTCGCCAAACCGCCTATCGCATACCCGAAGCAGTTAAAGAAAATATTCAGAAAGAAATTGAGGAAATGATGCAGTTAGGGGTGATAGAACACTTTGACAGCCCCTGGGCCTCCCCGGTAGTACTAGTACCGAAACGGGACGGCACGACCCGTTTCTGTGTAGACTACCGGAGGCTAAATGATAAAACAACCTCAGACGCCTCGTCTATGCCCCGGATAGACGAGCTCCTAGACAAAATGGCCAGAGGCCAGTACCTCACCACAACAGATCTGTGCAAGGGGTACTGGCAAATTCCATTAGCCGAGGACGCCATCCACAAGTCGGCATTTGTCACCTCGTTTGGCCTGTATCAGTTTAAGGTCATGCCATTCGGGATGAAGAATGCCCCGGCTAACTTTCAGAGGATGGTAGATTGGCTACTGGATGGGTTTCAGGAGTATGCCTGCGCCTACTTGGATGATATAGCTATTTTTAGCTGCTCCTGGCCCGAACACCTGACCCACATAGCAGCCGTACTAGACCGATTAGGGAGGCCGGACTGACCCTAAAGCCCAGTAAGTGCCATATAGGAACGCGTAAAAACCTCCCCAAGATAGTAGTATGGGCCCCAGAGTGTGAACAGGCCTTCCAACAGCTCTAGACGGCGCTCATTAAATCACCTGTACTTTCTGCTCCTGATCCAACTAAACGCTTTCTCGTCCATACAGACGTTTCTATGTTTGGATTGGGAGCAGTACTGAGCCAAGTCGGAGCAGATGGCGGCGAGCAACCCGGGGCTTATCTAAGCCGGAAACATTTGCCCAGGGAAGTAGATACACTGCCATTGAAAAGGAGTGCCTGGCGGTGGTGTGGGCCCTCAAAAAGCTGCAACCTTACTTGTATGGACAACCGTTTACTTTACTCACAGATCACAACAAATTTGGGGCACTGCGCGTGCAATCTAATGTGCCACCAGATAGGAGTGGTGTGTTAAGTAGTACTATTCTTATCAGTTTAATCCCCGTTACGTCCCCTATCCGTTGATGTGGAGCAAGACGCAGCAGCAGAAGAGGACTCAGCCGAGGAGGTTATGGAAGAGGATGGAGTAGGAGGAGTAGAGGAGGTGGCAGCAGGCCTGCCTGCAAGTCATGGCGGTGTCACCAACTCCTCTGCAGAGCCATGCATTCCATGCTTGGCAGCCGTCAGCAGGTTTGCCCAATGCGCAGTGTAGGTGATATACCTGCCCTGACCATGCTTTGCATACCAGGTATCAGTGGTCAGATGGACCCTTGCCCCAACACTGTGTGCCAGACATGCCCTTATTTCCTTTTGCACAATCGAGTACAGGTTGGGGATTGCCTTTTGTGAAAATAA